AGATCTTTCCTAGTTGTCCAACCGTAAAAGAATGAACTGTCGATGTAATTCTGTTCCGATTGGGGGTGAAAAATTTCTTGAGATTGTATAAAATCATATTGTGCGATAAAATTTTAAGAGTTTTTAAAAACTTATTAAAAATGATTTAAAAAATCAAGGAAGCCACAAAATGAGTACCAAATGGTAGAAACTAAATTGTGCGGGGATAAAGATAAAGAGACGTGGCGTCGAGTCACCGTGGAGACCATAACCAATGCTGCAATGCTGAGGAAGAATGTGGACACTCGAATGTTTTTAAACTTCTCCGGTAAAATATTTACATTTAAATGAAGTCATACAAATTCTCCCTTAAAATTTTCAATTACTGTGAAATTATCTTAAAAAATTGGAAGGAAAATATTCGTAAGTGAAGATGAAATATACTCCGTTCCATTTCGGATCGTCCTTGGAAAGTGAGTCATCATTACGAGTTAATCCTGCAAATGGCAACAGCGAAGGACGAACAATGCAGTTGGTGGCCCAGGCTAGAGGGCTCGGCTCTTTTTCCGTCAAGAGAATCAAAATCCTCGTGACCTCTGTACCGTGACCCATTTCCCCTTTATTTCATACTAAAATTTCAAGGTAATCACAAAATTGCGTCTTTCACCTCAAAATCAGGTTCAGGGTGAAATTCTGAAAGAAAATATTTTTGAAATGTAAAAATCGAGGGTTACAACGAATTTTATGTTTGTCGGAAACTCTCAGACTTAGTCGGGATAGAGGTCAAAATTCAATCAAATTATTCAAATTGTGTATTTTTTTATACAGTTTTCTTTAGAATTTGACTCTGAAATTCATTCTGAGGTAAAATTGGCAATATTTTGAGCAATTACAATTTTTTGTATCATTGCTGAAAGAAGAGAAAAGGGTCTGCGGCGAAAGTCTTCACGGTTCATCACGAAGAACAATAGGAGTGGTATTAACTCGAGGTTCCTCAACCAACGATCAAGGGTGCTTCGGTGTTGCAACACCGTGTAGAAATCGTCAGGTATAGTCAGGGACGTTCCGAAATGGAAGATTATAGATTTCTTAACAAAGGCAATTTGGCAATGTTTGAAGGCTCATGCGGCGTTTTTCGGCAGAACAGAGGCACAAAAGTCATGGGTCCTTGACCTTACGCACTACAGCAAAAAGGGAAGAAAAGAAGGGCAAGTGTTAGTATTGTCGGTCCATCTCCAACGGCTGGCAGGCATGTGAATGTCAATTCAAAATCAAGGAGATACCGATCCCGGACCAGAACAGGCTTAGTGAGAAAAACAAAGGGATGAAGAAGATTGCCACGTATGATTATTTTAACTTCTCATTCCCTTTGCTTACTGGTCTGATTACAGAAGGCTGTTTAAACTAGTGGGTGTGCCTGTGCCCCCTGGCCGCTACCAGCCCAACCCTCGGAGATCGCGCTTCGCGCTCCTTGTGGCCTGAATTGCAGGTTATCTAAAGAGAACGCACTCATCCAGGGACACTAATTGTATCAATCACTGCAAAACTCACGGAAATCAGCCCTGTAGATCTTTAGGAGGTCATATTTTCAAAATGTAGATAAATGGGGCTTATCCGGGGACTGTATGCTATCAATTGTCGTAAAAATGATGAAAATTGACCCACTAGAACGGTAGAGCTACTGTGAAAAAAAAATGGAAGAGGAGGTAAGAGAGCTTATAGGAATGGTGGCTGGCTACAAATAAGAAATTACTTCACCGCTCGAGTACTTTCTCTGGAAATAACGATTGTAGCAAAGAAATAGAGACTGATGTGGTATTTCAGCAGAATATTTTTCATTAATTGAGAATTTGTAATAGTAGTTCGCGCCATAACCCAACATATCCCAAAAAGCGCTCCGTTCTGCAATGTCACACATTTATTTATTTGAAATTGGTTAAATTTTTTACTTGAAACATGAGTAAAAACACTTTACGTGATGATAATCGAATGGTAAAAATCTTGATCGATGTATTGCTTCAGATAATAAATACATTTGACTTAACAGTCTGTGTTAGCTAAATGAAATTGATTGGTTAGTTATTACCACGCGTGCCCTGATCAAATCGGCCGATTTTAAGAATTTCCATGAAGGGTGAAATCTAAGTTTTTGTTTCGATTAGGAGAGCGCTGTTGAACACTGTTGAAAAAAAAAAAAAGGTTGTCCTCGCTTTCAGGTTAAACTGCATCGGTAAACCCGTCTATCCATTTAACTTCAAGGCTTAGGGTCGTATTCATAGTCGCACTTTAAACATTAATGTCTCCTTAAGCCATAAGAATTGCATTTGTTAAGGAAGCCTTGATATTTTAGGACAGCAATGAGCCGCTGGGCATGCAAGTTAAGGATTGAAGCAGTAGGTATGCAACATGTTTCATCCTCGAAATTTTACCGCAGGAACAAATTACTCAACGGGTGGTCTAAAAATTAAATCCTAAAAAAATGTAAAAGTTTTCAATGAACATCAGTTCAAAAAAAAAAAAAAAAATCACTTACAAATACGTCATTTGTAGAATATAGTCTCCATTGGATCTTTTTGGAAAAAATCTCTTACCGAATCTTTTACGAATTGACCTCCAAACTTCCCGTGATGTGAATGTTCTCTACGTCAAATTTTGACGAGAAAACGTGTGATGCTTTTCTTGTTTGGACCTAGTCGAGTTACACATTGCAGTGAAGTACGAGGCCGGTTGGAATGAGTTGGAAATTCTAAATGCTCTTTGCGCTTTTAATGGTATTTCCTTCGTTTTTTTATCTAAACTATGGAATTATACGTTAAAATTTTCGGGAGTATACATTCTACATGGTAACGATGAGAGAATTCATAAAATCGGTTCCTAATCTTAAAATTCAATGGTTACGGGGAAAAAATGTCATTTTTCGGGAGATGCTCCAGAGGCGCGCTCTCTTGGATTAAAGGAAGAACCTTTCGGGTGGAGAATGCCTCTGATTCCGAAAAAATGCCTGCCAGTTAGGCCAAAATTTCAACAGGGGTCATGAAACAGTTACCCTCTATCGGTAGCACGCGCATCCACTCATTCTCGCATGCTGCAATTAGCGAGTAGTGGCGAGGAGTGAAGCGTGGATGACGAGGGTGAGCGCGGGTCAGTCCTTCCCGGAATCGAACCCCATCCCCGAGACGATGAGCGAGGATGCTCCAAAAAGCATTCTATTCCACGGTGTGTAGGTGCTCAAAAAGAAGGTAAAACACGCTATATGCAGAAGCTATTTCGATTCTAAATAGTATGAAAAAAAGAACCTTTTGCTACAAGGGATGCTAAGTAGTGTCACTGGAAGATAGCTCAACATTATAGAGTTACCGGTGTGGTCCAAAGAGCGCTCACGAATTTTACCCTTAGGATTCTAATATACAATAGGATTTACTGATTATTAAAGAGCTTGATGCAAAAACGGCTTTTTTCGCCCCCCCTCTGGAAGTTCTTCAGACTTTGTCTATTGATTACTCATACTTGAGCGCTTCTTTTCCCAAATTTTCAGACTCCCAAAAAATTTTGGGGGGGAGCTAGGGGGGGTGAAAGTCAAAACCTGTGAACCTCGATATCTCTTGAACAAAGAAAGATATCGAGGTCCGGTTTGGACGAAAAATCGTGTAAAATTGCATACTTTAAGATTTTAAAGGTCGAAATCCCGATATCACGTTTTTAAGTCAACATATGTGCTTTTTTCCAGTTTTTAGGTCTAGAAAATTTCTTTTAAACGAAAAATTTACAAAGATCTCAATTTTTTATTTGAACCAAAACCAGTTTTTTAAATTGTTCGTCTTTTTCCGCATCCAACGAGTGGTCCATTAAGCTGGGGAACCAAACGGTTCCGGAGTTATGATCGATTGAAGTTTCCGCTCAACGCGCGCCGACCGATTTTCGCGCGCAAAAAAGTCGGATTTGACTGTTATTAGATCAGATTGAATGTTCAAACTGAGCAAAATGCTTTATTAGGGACTCTTGAGGGTCGCTGAGTTCAGAAATTACAGATACTTCCAAATAATTCACGTTTTTAAAATTACAGCTTCGGACAGGACCACTGAGCGGCCGGTCGGCGCTCAGTGGGCCTCTAAAATAGCGCTGCGGAGCTGTAATTTTAAAAACGTAAATTGTTTGGAAGTATCTGTAATTTCTGAACTCAGCGACCCTCAAGAGTCCCTAATAAAGCATTTTGCTCAGTTTGAACATTCAATCTGATTTAATAACAGTCAAATCCGACTTTTTTGCGCGCGAAAATCGGTCGGCGCGCGTTGAGCGGAAACTTCAATCGATCATAACTCCGGAACTGTTTGGTTCCCCAGCTTAATGGACCACTCGTTGGATGCGGAAAAAGACGAACAATTTAAAAAACTGGTTTTGGTTCAAATAAAAAATTGAGATCTTTGTAAATTTTTCGTTTAAAAGAAATTTTCTAGACCTAAAAACTGGAAAAAAGCACATATGTTGACTTAAAAATGTGATATCGGGATTTCGACCTTTAGAATCTTAAAGTATGCAATTTTACACGATTTTTCGTCCAAACCGGACCTCGATATCTTTCTTCGTTCAAGAGATATCGAGGTTCACAGGTTTTGACTTTCACCCCCCCTAGCTCCCCCCCAAAATTTTTTGGGAGTCCGAAAATTTGGGAAAAGAAGCGCTCAAGTATGAGTAATCAATAGACAAAGTCTGAAGAACTTCCAGAGGGGGGGCGAAAAAAGCCGTTTTTGCATCAAGCTCATTCGTAGGAAGAGAAAAAATTTCACTGAACCGAGATACGTGATCCTACGGTAAACTTATTGTTAGTGGAAAAAGTAAGTCATGAACGGTCACGAACAGTCATGATTTTAAAGCACATCTCTAGGTCACTCTCCACGCAATCCGAATACAGGGAGGAGGGGGGACAATGCGCACCATTGGAAGGGGAGCGTCAATTTGAATTTGGCGCCTTTAGATGGATCAATAGAATTCAACAATCATCAAAGACAACGACGCCGCCATTTGCATTCTGTTGTGACGTGTTTCCATTTCACTTCGTTTCGTCGTCGTTGTTCATGTCATGTCGTTGTTCGACTTGATCCATGAACAGAGCGTGAAGTGTTATTTTTATCCTCTTCAATCTTCCTTGTGAAGATTAAATACTTTTAGTCTTTTAGTTCTACATTATGCGAGCAAAGGTAAGATTCTCACCAATCGTCATTTCTTCTATTAATTCTAGTTGTATTCTTTATTTTCGCATTTACCGCAAATGACCAACCGCTCATACCCATCCTCGTAGGCCACCTCATGGTCTCCGCTCTCACGATAACTTATTGATTCAGTCCTCTATCTTAGTAATGCTTCTTTTCCTCGCCCAGAGTTTCATTTCCATGAAACTAGTATGCCCTATTTCATATGCATATCGCAGTTAGGAGCCGGGCTGATCCCCTGACTCCCTTGCCTCCTAGCTGTTCTTCCTTGTGCCACTCAGGCTACCTAATTGGAACGGACTTAATCTAGAAACATCTCCGTTGGTATCACATTTGTGCGGCTTTTTCCACTATCTGTAGATAAAAGAGTACAATTAGCATATTTGAACAATGTGGTGTCAGGATTCATGATGAAACGTCCAACAGCCTGAACCAGGCTTCCGATGAAATGAGCGCATGCGAGAGGTCTATACGGGAATTGGGAAATTTCACTATTAATTTTACTAAGGAATGAGGGTAACACATTGAGGGCACACATCGTCACCTTCCAGGCAAAGTATCACTAGCGCCATGCGACGTTTAAAAATTTCCGCCGCCATTTTATTTCTTTACTGAGAAATTGTTGGTTGAATCTGTTTGGAAATTTCACTAAATTTTATCGGCAGCACAAAGAAAATTTAGTGAAATTTTCGGACAGCTTCGTTGAACAATTTCTCTGTAAAAAAATAAAATGGCGGCGGAAATTTTTAAATGTCACATGGCGCTTGTGATACTTTGCCTGGAAGGTGACGACATGAGGGTACCGTCAGCCTATCATGTAGGTTAGCATTAGGCCTAGAAGAGCTACTGCCAAGTTCCTTAATTTTAATTGCCTCTTCAGTATCATCTCAATTCCGACTAGACAGAGACCAAGTTCATGAGATGATTCACGCATGTCCACTTCACTAGCTGTGTCACCTTTTTGGGATCTTCCCCGTCCGAAGCATGTATAGTGGGACTCGGATGTTGAGGACCAAGTGCTGTGCTTATTTCCTCCCTTAATCTGTTCTGTAACAGTGAACACTTCCCGGTGGCTGTTAGGGTTACTGACAAAATACTGCCCTATTCTACAATCCAATATCTTCCTTTACCATTAGAGGTCTAAATACGCTAACGTGCTGATGCTTCAGCATCTCTATCTGATCTGTCCAGACAATGCTGAACAAATTTAGGGTTGAATTGTGCCTTTCTGCAGGTTAAGATCCAAGTTTTAAACACGCAATGAAGTGATGAACCACTCCATCAATGCTGACGCTGTCTTTAGAGATTGTATCTTGAGTACATTGCAGTGAGATGTTAAAGGTGTAGGGAAGCAATTGGACTCCTCTTTACAGGCTTCCTACAGCTGAGGCACTAGGCTATTGTGAGAAAAGAATTTTATCTTTCATCGCATGCGGTTTGCTGCCCCCTAACCTTTGAACCTTTTGGACGTATTTCTGTCAAACGGAAGTAAGCACCAATTTGAGTTCCTTTTGAGGAATATGCATGCCGGATAGCACGTTCCGTCAAACAGAACTAAGTGCAATGGAAACATAGTGCGAGTATAGGATGAAATGAGCCTGATGCCCGGTTCCGCCGCCAATCCAAGCCCCCCTACCTTCCTCTCTCCTTGGCGCTTAGTTCCGATCGACAGAAATGCGTCCATACTACTGAATGACTTAAAGATGAATCTTTCGCTGGAAGCAGGATTATAGGAGTAAGGCAAAATACATTTAGTACTTTTAAGAGCCAGGGCAGATGAAGAATGGTGGTTGCATTTCGATTTTGACTACGATCCTGAAGCGCTGTGATGTCAAAAGGGTATGGATTTTGCCGTGCAATCTGAGGTTGAGCTGGCCCCCTGGGCCATTTACCAGACACCGTGTGATGTCCAGAGGGCACGTAATGCGACCACCATTCTTTATCCGCCTTTGGAGAGAGCTAGAATCAGAATGTTACTCCATGTGTCCTCATTTAGAAGATCATTTTCCTATGGTAAAGACCCCTTATACCATCATTGAGTCATTAAAACATTTGCCTAGTATTTTTGCAGTTTCTTCTACTTAGTTCTCCCTCAAATTTTGCATAGGCTTTCACAACAAAATGTCTCTCTCATCCGTTTGTTATGTCTTTTCACTCCTAATCCCCTTTCGTGTTCTTGTTTGCAGTGGAGGAAGAAGCGTATGCGAAGGCTGAAGCGCAAAAGGAGGAAGATGCGTGCGAGGTCCAAATAGACCCCATGGGTAAGTTCGATTCAATTTCTCAATAAGTGAAGAGTTGCCCGTCTGCTATCATGCAATGATATTCAATTAGTCAATTCACTATTCTGCCTCTATGAACCAACCCTTTAGTGGTTTTGGCCATTCCAGAATGAATTGAAGCACAACCTGATGAAATAAACTCCAAAGCAAGAGGGTTTGAATCTCTAAAACATGAGTTAAAAAACCAAGTTACCTGAGGTGCGTTTGTGATGGACAGATGATATTACTTTGGTGAATTACCCATAGAGTTACCTGTTGTCCCCAACTGAGGCCTAATTACTGTTATGTGACTTAGTTTAACACTTCAATGCTCCATTCACCATGTGCAGAAGGTGCTGAGCTGTTGCAGCAAGCATTGAACCTCCATGAAATTCACCAAAAGTGTTGTCTTGACGGAGGTTAAAGAATGATTGTCATACTCTGTATGCCATCACCAGGTAATTTCCGTTGAGGCCGGTAGTCCATCACGAACGCATCTTACAATAAACATTGATCTGTTGAATTGCTATTAAGTTATGTGGGCCTCCACCATATCAGTTATAGTCACTTAATCCTGAGGAAGGCTAGATGGCATTTTAACGGGTCCCTTTTAGCTTTCATTTTTTATCCATTTTTTCACACTCTTTCGCTTCTACAAGCATTTATTACGTAGTCCTAACTACTTTATTCAATTTTTATTGATAGGGTTACTTTTTTTTCTCATAAATGCTAACTATGATGACCCACTTAGCAGCAGGCTCCCTCATCTGAGTGAACCCAAAACATTTTTATGCTGTCACAGCTGCCCTGAGTTAGTACATCTCTAAAACTTGTAGATTTCTCTATCTTTATGGCCTCCGTTTTTGCATGCCCAAGTTGAGATAGAAAAAAGAATCTCCTCCTCAGGGCTGTTAGAAAATTCAGAGCAAGGTTTTTTTTTAGGTCACTTAATTCTATTACCATGATGACTTTTTGCGGCAGGCTCCCTCATCTGAGCGAACCCAAAACATTACTCTGCTGTTACAGCTGCCCTGAGTAATAGAATCCTAGAAGTGAAATTTATTTTCAGAGCTTCCATTTTCTACAATTAGTGCAACAATTATGACATGCATGAAATTGAGGTTAACGCATTTTTTTATTTGCTAACTGTGATGACCATCTTTGCAGCAGGCTCCCTCATCTGAGCGAACCCAAACCAATTTTCTGCTGTCACAGCTGCTCTGAGTTAAAACGAATGAACTCACCAATGTTCTGTGAACTCCAAGATGAAAAATTCATTTTTTCATTCACACCTAAAGACAACGGGCGTCAGTCACTCTTAAGTTAAATCATTAATCATCAGTGTAGCAAATAGCAAGAAAACCAGAATTCTCATCATTTCCAAGACACCCTAGTCTAATTTAGGGTTTATTAAAAATGATATTTCACTTGGAGCTCCTCAGATGAACTTCAAAGAATTGGACCACATTTTGCATTAAGGAACCACTTTTTCTAGTTCATTCTAGAAACATCACATGAATCATCGATTATCCTATGCAGAAAGGTGCTTTTATGGAAGAGTCAAAGATTGTGGTCCCTTATTGCAGAATGTAATCCATTTAGTGTGAGGCGGTCTTGCCGCCTTTGTCGCCCCCTCCCACCCTTCAGCAATTCTCCTTTGGCTCCCTAAAAGAGCGTCTTATGTTTTCAGCATGTTCTCTTAGTAATTTTCTCTTGTTTTTTTTTCTTTGTTGCAGAGACCGGTTGATACTTGCATTCTTGACAATGAATGAAACTCTGACTTCTCGAACAATGCGGACCTTCGTATCTGTCAATACACAACGTTAACAAATAACATCTGCTCTTGACTGAAATTCATTGATGTAAAGCAAACCACCTCCAAACATGCCCAAATTAAACCTTACTTTTTTAACTTTGTTATTTCGTCTTCTTGATTTTTTAATCGTCCAACATTATTTATATTTAAAACCTCAAATATCTTGGTTATCACAGATTTCATTTTATTTTGCAAGATCCATTGAGAGATCTTATTTTCTCTTTAAGTATCAGGGCCAGTCTAGTTTATTTTTTCTTTCTTTTGAAAAATACTGTCAACGGTTCAATTTTTAAATGTGAATGCCAACCATATTCACAAATTTTAAATGAGTCTATCAAGTGAGTTTAAAGTGGCTTTAACTGTGTTGGAGTTGTGCTATATAATTTTCTTATTGATAACCCCCAGTAAATTGACTGGTCACCAGAAATGCGCCAAGTTGCATCTAGTTGGAAAGGAGAAGAGGTTTGAAATATTTTACTTGAGTAATTCTCTATGTTCAAGATTAACGTGAAGTTTGTTATCATGTTTCAAATAGCCCCTCTCAACTTCACAGTTTTGTCAGAGGAATATTTTCAACTAGTCCAAATCGCTCGCAATGAACTTTTTGCAGAAGTGCGACTTGTTGCGTCTTGGCTAAACTTGGTCCAAAAGAAGTAGGCATTGCACTTGCAACTTCCAGATCAACTATGGTTTAAAAGTTTAATTGAATCCTAGGGCTTATGATCTATTCAAGCAATTGTATAAGTGTTCTCAATTATTAAATCAGAGTGTTGAAACTTTACCTTCTTGGCTTTCACGAAGTTAGTCAAACCTTCAATATCTTGCCTTGGGAACTGTGAAACTCAAAGAATTGAGATTCTGTAGCATTGTGGAAAGGAAGTTTTCTGATTTTTGTACCTATTTAATTTGTTTTTAATTATCTTTTCGAAATTGCAAAGATAGGTGCCAACACTCCTTTTATCGAGAAGTCTCAACTTACTGTTGACACATGTGCATATTGCACTATCCTAAGATGGAACATTTTCATAGTTTAGGCTATGAAACCCCTTTTTGGGAATTTGAGTAACATGCGAACAAGACAATTTTGATTTGCCTTAAATTTTCAGCTGAATCCAATGTTTTCTTCGTTTGACAGTTCCCTTGTGCACAGAGCATGAAGTTATTGGGAAAGGTCAAACATTACATTTTTTATGTTCACAATCATACACAGTAAGGAGTTCTTGCAGTAAATCGTACATCAATCTATGGAGCCACTTCCGAACTTCTACGTTCTGTATCAAGGAAGATATAATCTTATGAAGTTTCTACTTAATGTATGACCTCTCCCATGTCATGTAGCTCACTTCAGTTAAGTCAGGTCATATTGAGGTGAGGAATAAATTATGTAAAAGATGGAAGCGAAATATTTAATCATGTCTCAAAATTCGTTGATCGTGCTTATTCAGCAGGATTCAAAATCACTCCACTCTGAAGTATCACTGATGATCTGACACTAAAATTGTTGAAAATGTTTCACACTTGTTTCCGTACACCAACTCTTCCCTAAAGCTCTAACTCATTTATTCCTTCATTCAGTCATTATGACCCGTGGAAAAGGTAGTTCTTCAGACTCTTTAGCACTGCAGTGATATTCTTAATTCTCATCGTAGCTGCACTCTTCATGATATACAAGGTTTTTCGCGGTGTTTATTGTGTACTTTGCTTAGTGCTCCGAGTTATGTTTCAACAGAAGTTCCACATCTTCTTTTTAATATTATCTCCTGTTCCATTATTATCACAAAATTTTGGGCCTCCATATTTTGAATTTGATCCCTCCAGGTTAGTAAACTATTCTTTCCATCTCATGCGCTGGTGTCCTTAGAAGAGGACTGCTTACAGCTTTTTCATTATATTCATAGGATATCTGAGGGTCTTGGAGGACAAGGCGCATAAGTGCAGTCCTGATACTTTGAGAATATGTGTTAGAAGTTTTGAAATTTCATGGACCCTTATATCAGATAGAAAGTTTTGACTTATTGACGCTTAAAAATTGGAATTTGAAAGCGAATTTTTCACGGAATCATTAATATAAACTTCGAAGGATTCTGCCTTTTTCTATTTCACTCGAGGGGAAGTGTCCCCTCCCGGACTCTCTTCCCCACCCGGTGACTGACGCTGCGCTGTGCTGAACGGTTCAGCCTGAACCTTTCCCCTACGTCTGACCGTTCCCCACTCCTCTGTCAATCGAACCATATGCCACCGCTTACGTATTGTCGCTCGCCCACCCAGGTACCTAGCGGCCAGCGGTCAGTTGATGATAAATCTCGCTCATGCTCCTATGCAGCTACGCATTGATTACGCCAGCTAATTACTTTCTAATAATTAGAATTTCTTCGATAATAGTTTTCTTTATTTATTCGACTGTATTTTTTTCTCTGTTCTACTGTGATTTCCTTGGTTCTCTACTGTGTTTTTCCTAAATCTCTGAGTCAGAAATCTGAAGCACTTCGGTATGCACCGAGTACTTCAGATGTGTGACCTGAAATCTTCGGTATATACCGAACTACTTCAATTGTCTGACCCGAACTTCGGCAGATGGACCTTAACTTTTCGGATGCGTGATCCGAAAACTTCAGAGATCCATATGATCTCAGCTTCGGGTTCCATGCACAAATTTTTTTCTCCGTGTTTCCTTTTAGGGGACGCAACTAAAATTTCAGTAAATTTTTTTCAGAAAAGTAAAGAAAAGAAAAAGAAGAAAAAAAAAGTGGCTAACGATGGTTCCTCACCTTCACGTGGTGTTGGCTGTTTTTACTAAGTGGGAACCGTCCATTTTAAGATATAGTCTATTTCTTGCCCTGCCATTATTATTCTACAAGTTAATTGTGGAGTGAGAATTTCATAATGTTTTCTATGAAATCTTCAAAATATAGTGATTAAAAATTTGCAACTACTACAAAATCGGCTCGCGAAGCGAGCCGAATGTCACTCGCGTAGCGAGTGACCGGGGGTCCAGGGGGCTTAGCCCCCGGCTAGGCGTGACGGGCGCGCGAAGCGCGCCCAGAACGGCTAGTATGCATTAAGGCTAGTTTTACCTGAAATCATTGACTTCTCAATTTTTCTAGAAACTGCACTGATACGCTTTGTCCTTCAAACCCCCAGTCTGGTATGCTTCGCCCGGCGTGCTATGGATTTAGTTATTTTTCAAATTTAGCGCCACCAACAGTCTTACCGGTACTCAAACCTTAGCATAAATATCCAGTCTCCATAATTTCAACCCCAATCCTGGGTTCCATAATAAAAAAGTAATTAGTTTGAGCATCAGATGAATTAATGCTAGAAAATCTAAATATCAGAGAACAATGACTTACTTATATGTCGTGGATAGAATCATTTTCCTTTGCATTTCGAAGTTCTGGCTCAAAGACATTCTGACTGTATAAAGTTGTTACTTTGGAACTTTCAAAAAGAAAGTCTCTCTGATTGGTCAATAATCACACTGTTTACCATATTTTCCCGCTACGAATCTAACCTGCAAATTTCACTGTGGACCTGCTGTGGACTGTGCATGTGCATGTGCATAATATTTTCCTACACAACTGGCTACTAGCTCCGTCCCCTCCTTATCTTTTTTTTATGAGTATTTTCAGCTTGACAACAGTATTTCGGTCCATGCCAAACATCTAAAGTGCCTCAAGAAACCCCAACTCCATGGGAAACAATAAGTTGATTTTCAGTCGATTGGAATGAGCTATTCCAATTCTTCTTGTACGACCATTATTCGCATACTTGTCAGCATTTCTCAGGTGAGTTACATATATTTTGATAAGAACAGGTACTTAGCTGACTGTAATACATGTCGATATTTCAGTCACAGTATATTGAACTTTGAAAGGCTTGCAGTATATCAAAGATCTCATGTCATCAAAGTAACTTTTCTTTGCTAAGTACAGGTACTTATCATCTGTATTTCAGTTCCCCAAAATGGTACAACAGAATATGTACAACTTCTGTCACTGCAATCATTGGGTTTAAAGAGGTTGCGTTGGATGTATTTGAAATTCTAACAGTTAGCTCAGAGAATACAAGTAAACTAACCGAATGGATGAACCACTGCATAAGCAACAGCAGGTAATCCAGAAATCCATCAACCTCAAAAAATCATAGTGCCACTTTTTCAGTTAGCTCCGATGATAGGCATCAAAAAAAATTTCTGAGCCAACCGTGGGTGTTGAAACAACTTGCTGGTGTCAAGTATCTCAGATAACATGTTATCTCAGATTGCAACTTTGACAGAAACATTTCTATGATAAGTTTCTCTTAGACTTGAGGTAAGTTTTAGAGGACAGCAAAAGAAAGTCGCTACCTATGGAAAGAAACCTTTTCCTTTAATAACAATTCATTTTAAAAAGTGATCGGCAGTCCAATGAAGTATACTCCCAAGGAACTCTGAGAAAGCAACAGGAACGTAATTGAATGGAACCATTTTCATATCAGATGTTTTTTCGTTGTGACTCAGTAGGCACTTTGTTTTATTTTGATCTTTTTGTTCTTTTTCAGGATACAATCTTGCATTCTTATGACAATGAAGTATTGAATACCTAGATCACTCAATGTTGAGACTGGTGCTTACTGGAGAGGTTTATCCACTCATCACTTTTATGATGAATTTTCGTACTTTTTAAGTGGAAAGGCTTTGCAGTCATCCCTAAGAAGAAATATCCTCTCATGTTATCTGTAGTAGTTTAAAGTAGCTGAAAGGCTGTGGTCCAAGAGTTCCTTTGAAGGAGAGATTATTCCAGGATGGCGTATAATCAGGAAAATATTTACATGCTCAGATCATGCATTCAATCATTAGAATCTACTGCAATCATGGAGAAGAAGGTAAGTATATTCCAATACTTTTTCCAAGTGAAAAATATCCATCCTTGTAAGATGTATCTTTTCAATTGATGTGAGTTTCATTAGTATCCAATCAGTATTTTCTTGCTGCTGTTACCATTAATTCAATTCTATCTACCGTCTTCAATCAGGTAAAAGTTTATAATTTTGAAAGGTAATGTAAGAACTTAATCATTTTTTATCAGAAAACCCCTCCAACGCTTCCAAAATTATTTAATATTGATTTTATTGAGATGTTCTCATAAGGAAGTAGCTTAAAACAAAAGAAAAAGGTGTAATAATCTTTTTACCTGGTAATAGACCAAGAGAATTCAGATTTATTGCACACTTTCTGTAACTGACAAATGGGACTGTTGGATAATCTAAGAGTAGCCTTATCATTACACATAGAAGTTTCCTAGGTAACTTTTTGCAAGGATTGCGATGCCGAGTTGGCATGAGCTCCTAACAGCTTTTTTGACTGGTTAAAAGAGGCTTAAGTTGTGGTTCTTATTATAAATAATTTCTCTCATTGGCCTGGAGTTGGCGACATCTTATGAGACAACAACCCTGGGTTTCAACTGTTAAGATTTCAATGTAAAAAGGCCGTTGCACCATCTTTGCCTTCGTTAATGTTGTCAATTTATCATGTTATGTTATGAAAATTCTGTTGGTGCATTTTTTTCTGCTTAATGTTTTGGTGATTCTGATAAGTTGTTTTCTCACCTAAAATTTTTTGAAAGCAGAAACATGTAGGAGTTCTCGTTCTTTACATACTCTTGAAAAATGAACTTAAAAGAATATACAAGAGCCCTATTTAAATTAATCTGGAAATTCAACTTTTTCAGAAAGGAGCCGAGGAGCTAATGGATCTTCTAAAAAATTCTGCATGTATTAAGATCATCAACGAGCAACCAGAGAATGGATTAACATGGTCTCACATTTTTTCCACTTGTCACAATGCCATCATGAGGGTAGGTACACTCTCAACTTGATCTTAACCTTACTTGGACGCATTTATGTTAAAAGGAAATATGCGCAAGTGGAAAGACGGGGTGTGCTTGTGGAAGCTGGATAAGAAACAATGTAAAAGTGGATATAGTTCCTTTCGAGAAAATGGAAAAGCGGGATTTGACATTAAATCATAAGGAATTGAGCACTAATTCGTGAGCCGTGGACATGTGACAAGGGCGTTGTAGACAAGGCTCATGAGTCAAAGTTGCGCGAGAACGACAACGGAGACAGCTTCGTTGCCGCTGACGTCACTGGCGCTTTTAAATCCCCATCCATTCTTACAGCCCTCAACTGACAAGCACACCCTATTTTCCTACTTGCACATAGTTCCATTTAGCATAAATACGTCCACTTTTTACACCATCAGATGATTATTCAAACTTATCAGAACATGAACCTGATAATTTACGCTTAAAGCGCCTCTCAAAAGTAATGTACTTTTTGGGGGTTAACATGGATTAAAATATAATTTGCGTTCCTACTAAGTTTATTTAGTATGTTAAACATTGATAGAGCTTGAGTGTGTTTTACTCTCTGAAAGTCCTGTGTTTTTACTTTTCCTTTTGGTTCTAGTGTCCTCCTGCCGGGGGTTGAGCTAGGTCAGGTACCTGGAGAGTAGAGCGATACGCACCTCGTCTACCTTCCCTGCTTTCTAGTTCCTCTCAGGAAAATATTAGTTTTTTTAATGCAGGCGGTTTTCCCCCTGTTTGCAAACTCATACTCAGGCCGAACTGATCGATTTGGTCGAAATCACAGCGGATTTTGCCATTTTTTTGTCCAACTTGGCAAGCATGTAATATATTGAACCTTCAATTCTCGGAGACTCTGTTCATAGTAGGATACGACTTCTTACTTACCAGATAAAATAACAAATTAAACCTTCAATAAATTAAATATTTAAATAAAATCTTAAATAAAACTAATAATAATTATTAATAATATTCAATAATCAATTATTTTTCATTTTATTTAAATATTTAATTCATTGGAGGTTTAATCTGTTGTTTTATCTGGAAAAAATAAATTGAACAATGAAAAAGTAAGTAGTCCTTGAATCAATAAACCTTTACTTATCAATAAAAGCTAAAATGAGTAAGAAAAATAATTAAAATATTTAAGGTTTTTAAAGTGATGTATAGGAGTCAACAGTCATCTCTTCCTTGCCTCTGAGGAGGTACCAAAAATAAAAAAACCAAAACGAAATACGTATTATGGGATCTTATTCTGCCATGGAAAGAGTCTGAAAATTGAAGGCCAAGATTTTGCGTGGTTGCCAAGTCACTCCAAAGCATTGGCAAAAATCGCTGAAAAGTTTATAAAAATTGTTTTTCCACGTTGGTAAGGGCTCCACGGAGGCATAAAAACATTCCCTGGCGAAATAATTATAAGATCCTCGTATGCTACTATGAAAAGAGTCTCGGAAAATTGAAGGCCCGATTTTTTACATGCTTGCCAAGTTGGACAAAAAAAATGGCAAAATTCACTGTGATTTCGACCAAATCGAGCAATTTGGCCTAAGCGTGAGCTTGCAAATAGGGGGAAAACCGCCCGCATCCGAAAAACTAATATTTTCCCCTAAACAATTACATAAATGGTTCCTAAAAACCAAAAATTGACTTTCTTCATGGTTGCCAAGTCACCTAAAAAAAATCAATAAAATTGTTGACCTATATGATTGGTAACTGGCCGTAATTGAGGAGGGTTCCGGAAAAAAGGCCCATGGGCGTATGGGCCCTTTTTCCGGAGAACGCATTAATGGATTGCCCGTGCCCTAAACTATATGTGCCTAAAGTTTCGTATCGATTCGCCAATTTTTAAAGCCACACGACCATTTTTCCGGGCGTGGGATTTCCACTAAATACCTTTATGAACGGGGTACCTATCATCTAGAATATGACGCGAGACCCGTGCGGCCCCGGCCAGCAGATAGCGATCCGACTGACAACAGCCCCTCTTTGTACATCGAATGCACTGATCACTAGCTGCAATCAGTAAATGCAGATTTCCGTCAAGATGTCAACAGTGGCACCCACAAATAATAACACGCAGAATAATATTAATAATATTAATGTGTGTCAGAGGATTTCTCTTCCTTTTTCGCGAAGTTAGTTCGTGTTGTTCGTCTCTATTCGTTGATGATATTTTCGCAATGTCCGAGAGTGGTAGTAACATTGTAAATAATGATAGATTAAAGCGTCATAAAAGTAAAAAAATAAACAGGTTAACACAGGTAACAGGTAAAAAACAAACAGAGTAAAGGCATCTGCCAAATTAAAAAGACTGCATGGTCACGTTACCAAACTTTATCCGCTAAAACCGTCTCGGGGAAAATTTTCAAGTCAATGACAGAATGTTGTGGTGGAAAGTGCTTCAGTTTTCAGACCACCAAAGATGTCATTTATTTATTTTATGTTATTTAGAAGAAATAATACTTTTTCTTTTTGTTTCAATTGTGCTTTTAACTAGTTTAGTCACAAGAACCGATTACCATCAGTGGATCTCCGGAAAAAGGGCCCATAATCGAATTTTTTTAAAAATTCCTCTCGCAGTCCAATTATGATTTGCAACTTTTGCCAATCTCTGATTTCATTCTAGGATATATGAATCCTTGTATGAAACATTCATTTTGAATTTTGAAGTCTCTTCACGGTCAAAACACAGTAATGAAAACTTCAATGACGTTTTTCTCACAACGCGATTTTTCGGTATGGGCCCTTTTTCCGGAACCCTCCTCAATTGTGTTTTTTGCATTTTTAAGGGTATGTGTGGGGCACAAAAATTATTTTGATCCATAAACTAATTAGTATACCTTTAAGAACTACTAGAGGTAAGTTGATATTCCAAAAATGAGAGCTATAGTCAATTTCTATCTTGCTTAAACAGTGCGATGAAATCGCAAAAAAACAGCTTTAAATATGAGATTTTTGACACAAATTGCAACAGTGGCACCCATAAAAATTTTTTTCGAAGAATGCTTTGCGCAACCGAATACCTTGGCGCAACTTTTCCTCCCTATACAATTTTGAAATTCAAAAGTTGATGTTTTTTGACTCGCCCTAGTGCGGACTGCAGAGGACTCCCTCAGGAGTCAGGGAGAGGATAGCTTTGCCAAGGATGTCACTACCGTTGAAGAGTGCCAAAGGGACATCCGACAGGGTAGAGTGCCAGACCACACTTGGACTGCATTTTGCATTTCCGAACCACGATTTCTAGTTCAGTCTAGAAAGAAACAACGCACGTACCATTGGTTTCTCTATGTACATAAGTGTTTTTACAGATGAGCTAGACACTGTAGTTCTGAATTGCAAAATGAAGTCCACTTATGCAAGGTGTGGTCTTGGAGAGGGTTATAGTTAGGGTTACAGCAGCTTTGCTTTCTCTAACCCCACATCACCAAGATCCCATCCTAAGTGATATCTTCTGTCAAGAGGTGGCCTCAGATGACACACGCTAGCTGTTGATGCTGGTATTGTGTTCAGGTTGGCTTGTCTAGTACTTAGTTGTTTAGAGCGAATTTTCCTCTTAGTCATTAAAAGAAAAAAAAAATTGAGTGAGGTGCAAATAGGGTGAAGCTTTAGATGATGTGTTAAGCTAACCCTTGCAAAATTTTCGGGTTTTTTTTTTTTTTTTTTTTTTGAGAGAGATAGAGAAAAGTAATTAAAAAGCCAAAGGATTTCATTCAACAAACTCCATCAAATTTTGGGAGAATTGACTTATATTTGCAATTTCTTTCTGAACCAACGGCCTATATTGTATTTTTTTCTCGAATGTGACAAATATTTTCAAAATTACCTTGTAAGCAAGAAAATACCACTTCATTCGAATTTCTTGCCTGCAAAAGAAAAACGGTGGTGTAGAATCCACTTATTGATGTTACAGCAGCATGTCTACCTTCAGGCAACATTATTATATGTATATCTTCATTTTTCTGCCATAGGAACTGGAAAAACTTGGAGATACCATCAACAAAGGCAAAAGTCTTAGCGCAATCCAACATGCCCGTGTCGCATTATATGGGTCACTAATAAGTGAAATTCCGCGATTGGCTAATGAAGGTAAAACTTTGAATGCTGTTCTTATTTTTGCAAACATTCGACAGCCATTTATAAATACAAGGTGGAGAAATCGTGCTGGGTTCATACCATTTTGCGGGGAAACAAAGCCAAGAAATTCCAAAAATTAAAATAAGAGTCAAAATTAAATTATAAGTATAATTATAAGTTAAATAAAGTGCTCAGCTCAGGCAGTTAGCATTGGAATATTAAGTTGGAGTCACGCCGAGAGATCTATACTAGTTTGGGCCTTATTAGACCTCAACAGCAGATCACACTCGGCAGTGAACCTAACTCAACATGCTGCAAAATCCAAGACGGTATGTTGGATTTTGCACCAGTATTTCAAGCAAAATAAGTTGAACATGTATAAAAGGTACAAGTAAGCAAAGAAATAGCTTATTGAGTTTAGATTAGAATCAGTTGATTCAAACTTTCTGATTCTGAAAAAAAAAAAACAAAGTTAATCACTCGTGTATTAACTGGAGTTAGTCTCATGAATATTTCCTCTCTCTTTGGATACTTGATTTTTTCAAGTTTTCGAAGGAAATTCAGCATGCTGAGAAGCATATCTCCGTATTAAGAGCACTGAAATTGAGGCACTGGATGCGAAAAGGGCACTTCTGGTTCCAGTGTTTCAGAGTCTCCTCTAATATTTCATTCATTGTAAGGAATACCTAAGTGAATGCATCCATTTCACTAAAAATTTACTCAATATTCCTTATGATTCTACAATTCTCTGTGGAAAGAATTCTGGAAAAATCACCCATTAAATTCTCCTCCAAGGGATTAATCAGCAACAGAGATTCTGAAACACCGCAATCGAGGAGTGCCCTTTTCACATCCAGTACCTAAATTAGATCGGTGCATGCTTTGACTTGAGTAGACTTTGGTTTTTTTGCAAGTTGGAAGTTCAAACTTTGCATCAATTATGGCTAATTCCTAACTTGTTAGTTAATTTAGAAATTTTCATGAGAAAATTTGTATTTTGATGCTTGATTTCTTCCTCAGGGGGTCTTGTGTAGAGTTAAGTCAAATAACTTTTTCTCACCTTCATAGTGAGATAAACGATCTGCCATCTTCATTCTTCTATTTACCTACTCTCAACGCTAAGTGAAGACAGCAAATTTTCTGTCATTCTCTAAAATTGTGTTATCTCATCTCATGTGACTGTAATGCTTGGATGAAATTTTAGGTAAATAATTGTGAATGTCAAAAAAAAAATCATGCGAACTTCAGTCAAGTAATGCAGATTGGTTCCCTCTTAAGGAATTGAAGTATAGTAGCAATTATGTCTCTAATTGAGAGGAGTGATTTTATTTTATTTTTCACTTTTACTACCTAGTTACGTTAGTTGAAAAAGTTGAGGAAAGGAACAGACGAACCTTCTCTTGCTGGTGAAAATTCATCTCCTTCACATCTATTCACAGAAAACTCTGTACTAATTTCAAGCTTTAGAGTCTGCTAATTTCTCTTTGCAAAAATTAAATAGGTAGGTGCAGGAATTTTTCAACAACGCAATGGAGTTATGTTTTTCTTTACTTTTGCCACCGATATGACTAATTGGACGTATTTCTGTCAAACGGAACTAAGCGCCATAGGGTGAGGAAGGTAGAAGGGGGCCTAGGATTGGCGGTGGAACTAGGCGTCGGGCTCATTCCGTCCTATACTCGCAATTCTCTTCCATGACGGTTAGTTCCGTTTGACAGAATGCGCTATCCGGCATTCTAAATTCCTCCAAAGGAACTCAAATTGTTGCTTAGTATCGTTTGATAGAAATACGTCCAATTCTGGGTTTTATTCAGGTTATTTTCAATGAACTGAACTGATAGAGGGTAAATACATACCTTCCAAGTTTATGATTGAATTTTTTAGTTCATTGGCCTTAACATATAGAAGAATTGTACAGCTAAAATATGTAATCAATTCCTTATGATTTTTGATACATAACATTTTTTTTGGCGGTATCTTTTACTTTAGTTTTGTGCCTATTTTAACCTATTCAAAGCCTATTCAAGCCCATTCAAATATATACTTTAAAGTCATGAATCTACCTCCGGTCAATTCAATTCCTCAAAAACAAAATCTAAAGTGACATTCATACTTAGTGGTGGCATTATAGGCATGTATATTATGGAAATATTCACCTAGAAGTACCCTGGATTCATTTTAAGATATGGTAGCATACTTAACCGAGATTTTGTGAAATTGCAATGAAAGTATGCTCCTTTTTTTAGCCATGAATCACCTATTTTTGATTTAAATGAAAAGATCAATATCTTAAGCAGTTAATTTTTTCCATTTTATTTAAAACTGTACAAAAAACTAAATTTTTACAAGGTAAGCACGTATAAACAAAAAAATTACCAATTGCAGATTATTTTAACTATCTATGTTCCTACTCTCTTCATCAATAAGGAACATACTTACATCTTTATAGTACGGAGGAATGAGTAGTGTCTTCAACTCTTCCATAGTCGCCCATTGGAAGTCCTCGAAGTTCTTTGGTTCGAAGCCACCATTTAGATATTTGGCCTTGTAAAAGAAAACTTTTGCTCCAACCGGCTGATCAGTTTCTTCTGGTGCCTGCTTATATTTGTATTTGTAATAACCGGCGGGTGCATTACCTCGCAATTTCACATTCAAACCATCCCCAAAAGTCTCTTTTACGATGCGTTCTGCAGTTTGTCTCAGAGTCTCATCTTCACGGTTCACATCTTGCGGCAGATGCCACAAACTCTTGTTACCTAATTTTTTCTTGATCACAAGCAAAAGGCGAGAGTCCAGGCATCTGTCTAAGGATTTAACATCTTTGTTCTTGTCTGCCTCTGTTGTGCGTGGAGCCGCCTGCAGATTGTTTAATTCAGCGGTATTCTTATCAATGAAGTCCTGTGATGGAATTGTTGCCTCTTCATCCTCCACCTGTGTACTAGTTTTCTTTAATTTATCAAACTCAGCTTTTTCTTTTTGGTACTTCAGTTCAAAGTTGCACTTCTTACTATTCTCCAGCTCAAGCCTTTCCAGCAATGATGCCACTTTCGTCTCCAACTCGTTCAGTTCTCGTGACACAATTGGGTTCCTTTCGATACACACTGCACTCATTACATCCCACTTTTCACTTATTCTGTTTTCAGGATCTTTTGACGAATGTTGAGCCAAAGAGCTGTATGATTTAGAGATACTACAAGCCACTAAATTGACAAATTTTAGAGGTATACCCCTCTGCACACAACTGACTTTGAACATTGTAGTAAACTGTTTCACGACCACATGTGTTAGGCAAAATCGCTGAAAATTTTCAGTTTTTAACGCGTTTTCTGAGCCGACATTTACTTTAATAACGAATGTAACTTTCCGTTCTCACTTTGTTTCGTCAATGGTTGTACCAGTGAATTCGAATTGTTAATTGTTTGCTAAGCATGCACCTAACCTCAAATTCGGCCTATGCGCCGATGAGTGATGTCCGCTGTTGACGCCGTAAGAGCGGGAACTTTCAAAATATCGTCACATCCGCCCGCCGCGCCGCGCGCCGGAGGATTGAGGAGGTATCTGAGGTGACAAGTCGCAGTAAATGCCACTTGATCCTAAATTTTGATTGACAAATGCAGATTCCGCTGAATAAAGTAGGTAGTAAATCTATTCCATAAAGCAGGTAGAAGTGGAAACTTCCGTAGTTAGAAATCAAGAACCTGTCTATAAGGGGAGAAGAAATTTTTTTGACGATTTTATTATGCAGCTTTTGTCAAGTCTCAACGATGTAACAATACCAATTGATCTCCTACTTCTTTCAATTTTTTGCAGGAACTCTAAAATGCAGCGATTTGATTTCATCGTTTCTACACGTTCACTCAGTGAAGAAACGTTGGTTTCTTAATGACTACGCCAATATTATTTTGGAACATGTTTTGCCGCAATCAAGGTTCTGGGCAGAGATCGATGTCCAGACATGGAATGGTATGTATATTTTTAGCAATCTCGATGAATCTTTGTCGAAGGGAGAACTTCCAAATTTCAAGTTTCAGAGACGGGGAACCTAACTTAGTACCCCCTTTTTAATTTAGTACTTTTAATCGAGCTCTCCAAAAGTAACTTTCATGCCCAAGCTCAAACAAGATGTAAGTCGTTTCATTTTGAAAGATTGACCAAGGTGCTCAAATTTCACTTCCCAACTTAATTTGAGATGGGATGGATTCCAATGACCAGTATGTACGTAGGTACTTGAAATTAAAGTAGACCGGCAAATACGAGTACTCAAAAAAATGAAAGAAATATTTAATAAAGAAGAAATTTTAAGTATTTACGATGTAAGTGCAAATCGCATATCTTCATCAGCAACGTTGTAGACTTTCTGTTGAGCATTACTTTTTTTTAGAAAACTAGTCAGCATAATTTTTTGAAAATTCCTTTGATTCTTCTTCTTTGTTTTCCAAAAATTCTGTATGAACTTCAAGCCATAAAGTTGGCTCGTTTCTCTCTGAAAAAATAAAATAAGAGAGGAATTTTTGAAACACATTAATTGAGACACACTGTTTCTCACTTTGGCCAGCGAAATGTACCTGTTTCCATCCATCTTTTTACAAATATGTTTATGCGTATCTTGCTTTGTTTTCTTAGATTTACTGAAAGCGTTCCAAAAACTATACGGAGACCCTAATATGAAGAAAGTCAATGTTTTACTTGCCATAGAAAGGATTGTAAAACACGGCTGTCAGCATTCCCAGTTTCTACTGACTATAAAAAATGACATTTTTAAGTATTTAGAGGAGATTGTTCAAAAAGAGGAATATAATCGTGCATATCTAGCTGACACTACTCTGCAGGTGGCATATTTGGAGCTGTGTTCAACCGTTTGTTCTGTGCTTGGAGGTGAAGTTCGTGCCTCTATGTGCAAGTTTGGCGAAACCATAATGCCGTCTCTACTTCAGGTTTATGAGGCAAAGAATCAAACTGGCTCGCTTAAAAAAAGTGCGCTCTTCAGAATTCTTCTTCTTCTTGTCAAATGTCATCACCCAGGTACTTGTTTTTATTATTATTATTTTAAATAAATCATGATTCTTACCTGTGAGGACTCACAGGGCACAGATGAGCATTCTATGAGTGCCCATCTTTCTGATCAGTATTTGCTTATATATATATTTGTCCTTTTTTATGAAAAATTATTTTGGTTTTTATAGATACATAAATGGAAGCTCATCGACGGTGTAAGTCGGCAATCACATAACTTGGAAAATGCGATTTTTCAGGAGAGGGAAAAAACTCTCTACATTCCTCATCTTTGAAGGTAGAGGGGAAATATTTCTTAGAGACAGCAAGGATAAGATGCTCTATAAGACTCTATCATCATTTTGAATAATATTCTCGTCTGTCAGGAGAAATGACCAAAAAACCGAGTTATGTGTTTGTGGAAGTAAGGTCCAACAGTTACATGATTGGCGAATTACTGATTCAAACCCATTCTTTGCCGATGTTGACTGAATAAAGACTGAATAAGACTCCTCTCACTTTAAAAGTAGCCTAAAGTTCCTTTTAACAAACTTTAATTGGTAGCAAATCTTTAGAATGACACTGGAAAACGATTCGACGGCGTAAGTCGGCAATCACATAACTCGGTTTATGACGTCGCAGACTTCCTGTCACACTTCATTTTTTAAACGGAAAACTACTCAACGGCAATTCTTTAAAACTGCCGTGAGTTTTCTTCTTTATGCGAAGAAAATTCTGTATAAACTGCAAGGAGTGATGTCAAATGTGTCGTAGAAGCGGAGATTTCCAGACACCGTGAACAAGATAATTATGTGATAGTGGACTTACGCCGCCGAATTACGGATTAGAATGAAATCAAGATAAAAATAAGCGGACGATTACTTAGTTATCCGTCAGATTAGATGTTAGATGTTAAAACAATAATAATATTTTTGTTGTTTGAAGATTCCGTGACGTACTAACTTTTAATTTTCCCTCCTAAACTGCTCATGGTTCTTCCCGGGAGAGCGCACGTAAAAATGCGGCGCGACGGCACGAGTTAAGTGTTATTGGAATTAATGCCGAGATATGTGTTTTGAGTTCTACGTTTTTAGGTGACTTCCAGATTTTTTTCGACTGAAATATTTTGATAGCAGGTAAAGGGCATCTTCTACACTTCATTTCTGCAGCTAACTCAAAACCGCCAAAAATGGAGTTATGTGATTGCCGACTTACACCGTCGTCATAGTACATGTATAATGAAAAAAATAATCAAGATTTTTTTTTTTTGCCTAATTCCCTCGACTAGCCTGTGAAATGTGACCTATAACAAAAGCCTCTATTTTATCTGTATGTAAGGATTTTTTAAGGCAAGTTTGTTTCTCAAATTGATTTCTGTTTTGTATTTCAATCTCGGAGCAAAAGAGCTGAATGTTTCCTCATTTCTATGCCTCCATTCATCCATAATATTTTCTTTTTTCTTTGAAGGTGGAGCAAGTAATAGTCCAGGTGCCTATGCTTCTAACTGGGATGAATGGCGCAAGCAGCTGTTCAAACTTTGGAGTGTCATCGATTTAGAAGTGACGAACGTTCAAAGAAATTCATTTTTTTATAAGTCTAAGAGTTTTACCCACCGTGAACCATTCATTTCATTGGCTGCTGAGTTGGGGAAACAGATTGTAGTTTTGGACTCAAATTTTGTCGATGTAACCATAGCTCCTTGTCTAGACGATACCATCTTTGCTGATGGTGCTCCCTCCTCCAAAAAGAGGAGAATTGAGACTGGTTTATCATCTATAATGACCAAGTTGCGTTTGCAGACGAATCCTTTAGATATTGGGCCATGGCTTGTAATATTAACGGAGTTAATCTCAAAGCACCCAGCAGTCATCAAAAGTTCTGAGTTTGTACCGTTAATGCGGTTGATGAATGATCTACTCGGTTCGTGTAACAAAGAGTCGCCAGTCATGGATGACCTGTGTCATTGTTGTGCAACCATTCTGTCTGCTCAAAAATTCATCACTCTGAATTTAGTCGATCATGATGATGCAATTAACCAAATTAAAGCCATCTGGGAGACAGCTTTGCGGACAGCTGGTCTGAACTTATGTGAAGAGGGCAGTCATTATTTGTTACGATCACTCCTGATGAGCCATTATGATGAGCCAAAAGCTGCATCTTTACTGAAAATGTTTGTAACGGGAACCATCAATCTCAGCACCAATACTGTACTAACCCTTGATAGACTGATTTCTCTAATGACGTCACTTGAATCATCTATTCGTGAAACTTTGATGAAAAATCTTATGCTTCAGCTGTCTCAATTTCAAACGCAGTTCTTAATCGAACCAGACCTTCTTGCTAAAGTGTTCATCAAACTTATCACACGCTCTGATTTACCTGAGTCCACCAAAGTTGAAACTAAAATGCTCCAAATGGAATCTGTATATCTATCTACAGCGTTTCAATCGGGATTATTCATTGGCAAGCATCAAGAAGTGACCGAAAGTTTTACTAAATTGGAAACCAAAAGTGTGGACTACAAACTAGCTCGACTCTTTTCTGTAACAATTAAAGATTTGAAATTTCCTATTTTTGAGCTTGAGCAGTCAGAAGTAAAGAGTCAAATTTCTCTTTTGAGAGGACTTGTCATATTGCATCATGGCGTGGCACATTATGAAAGCCTGTTTGAAAATCATTTTCTTGACGACAGCGCTGGTATCCTCGAGACAACTCTTCTAAGATTTAATCAAAAGCTAGTCGTTTATTTAAAAAGTGCAGACACAAGAAATAATTATATCACAGAATTAAATAATGCAATTAAGCTGTATGAAAATTTTCATAAAAGAAAACTAAAAATTTCAAGTGGCCTTTTTGATGATGAGTCCAGTGATGGACTTGTCGAAGCAATTAAAAAGTTCCTAAAGTTAAAGACTGTCACTCACATTGCTGATGATGCATTTGGAATGTGCTCTAATGGCATAGCTAAAAAAGCTCAAGAGAAGGCAGAGTCTTTTCTTAGTCCAAGTCTTTTATCAGAGGAGGAGCTTTTGAAACTACTAGCTGTCAAACTTATGTTATTTTTCGTCTGCTCAACAGAGCAAGTTCTGTGCCCACAACAAGAAGGACTAATATCTGATCTGCTCAAAATTATAGACGAGAAGATGGAGAAAAAAAGTTTTGTTAACCTTCAAGTGTCTATCTTAGCTTTAGAAAGCATCAACAAGATACCAAGTTTAACAGATGAACAGATTGATAAAGTCTTCAACATAAGCAAGAATGTATGCCAGGTCTGGCGGACAAACGGCGAAGTGATCAGCAGAATATTGCAAGCTTTGACAGGCATGGCGAAGATTATTTTTTCCTCTAACGAAGACTTTAGGCGCATGTATTTCATATTACTTTCAGGTTGTGACACTTTTATACAGAAAAATATTTTTGGTCCTTCAGTTAATGTTGACCTGGTCAATTGTATCATCCGAACGCTTGAAGTTGATGAAGTGAATTGTTGGAAGGCAAAGCTTGTTGTAGATGATTGTAATGTTCCAGCACCAATTCGCATTTTGTCATTTTTAAAAAGCCCCTATCACCAAAGTCGCCTTTTGGCTGCAAAGTACGTCCCTACAATATTTGGTCCTCATGGAGATTCTGAACTTGCTTTCAAAATTCTGAAAGACATCATTGAAGTTATCTACATCACTCCAGGCAATCTGAGTCCAGAACAAACCATGGACGAGGGAGCAAATAGAACTTCAATTCTTCTGCACACACTGGCATCTGTAATTTGCTGCTCGGAAACGCATCGGAAAAAAGCTCTCTTGGAGTTACTGAAAGTTACAGTGCTGAAGCAAATCAATGTGGGCTTAGTAGAGTCTGTTTTGAAGTTGATCGTGAAGTTCCTCAATACTAATGTTGAAGCCTTCTTATCAGACCACTTCTACTATCTGATATGGAATTGGCATCATAGATTCAAGTCCATAGACAATTTCCCTCACAGATTCCTTGCCTGCAGCTCCTTGCAGCAAATGTACTCCAAATATGAAACAGATCTTGTATGTTTGTTGTTCTTGAGTAACGATGATGATGCCTTGAAAATTATGGCAACCAAATTAGACACATCAGTAAAAGCTTTACTAGAAAGGAGTTTTGCAAAACTTATGGCAATATTGCTTCCATTGGTCATGGACAAAAACCTCCTCCAAAGCTCAATCAGATCGGAGGAAGTATTAAATAAATTGAAAATTCATTTTAAGGTGGATTACCGAGATTTTGAAGCATTAATGTGTAAAAGTATTCCTAGCATTATCTTAAAGTTCATTCATATCCTTGGGCCCAATTCGACAGCCTTGCCCCCAATGTACAAGTTTACAACAGCAAAAAATTTTTTCAGCTATCTTCAAGGCTCAAGTGATTCACCAGACATTCCTTTGATTTGCTACTTGTGTTGTGAGTCTCCTCAGGACATTCAGAGACTTCTTTTGGCCTTGACTTTAGACATACGCAGAACTTCAACCAAAGAGCTAAGAATTTTGGCAATGGAGCAATTTCGAGTTGTCTGCGAAATTTTGGGTGAAAATTCACAGCACGTCGGAAAAATGAGAAACTATATTATAAAATATGTCATTAGTATTTTATTTCATTTCATCAGAGAGTCCGATGAAATAAGGCTGATAAGTCTCACCACTTTGAGTAGTTTTGTCCGATCTATTTTACCTCATGGTGGGAAAGTGGTCTCTGTAATTCTACCGCTTATAATAACCACATTGGTTCCACTAGCACAAGAAGTATCTAAAACAGCTGATGCAGCTCAGAATCTGCTGGAATATTTGATTTTAACCTCTGCAGAGATTTTAGAAGATGGAATAGCGAACCTGGACCCATTTCCTCCCAAAGGAAAGTTTAGTCTCATGAACCAGAAATATGAGGAGATCTGTTATCGTTTGTCACCCATGAAGACTTTAGAAAATGAAATCAAACATTTTCTGCAAGCAGGATCGATCTGTAAAGTTGATGCTAGTACACGTATTCAAGGTCTGAAATATCTTAACTCCCTGCTGGCGAACAAAAAGGAAGAGTTGGCAGGATTATACGCAGATCTTGATCTTGTCAGAGGGTTCTCAGAAGATTGCGCAGAAAGCATTTTACACCGACTGATTTACATGCTAGTCCAGTTGGCATCATCTCCCAATGTTGAGGTATGATTATCGTCTTATTAATCAACTATTATCAATAGAGTCCCTTTATAGCCAGAGTTAAGAGTACTTTTGGTTGGGCCAGGGTTGGGCTGAAAGTGGCCTAAAAAAAAATCCAATTCTGATTGGTTCTCGCTCATGGAGACCGAAACGAGTGCACCAAGATGGCGGTACCTTGAATGTGAACAAGAATAATGAAAATATTACCTAATTGTGGTTTATCAAGAGTAAATTGTTATTGCCATCGGTCCAAAATGGAAATAGATTAAGAAATTATTCACAAACCAATCTCATTTTCTCTTTAATTGATCAATTTGTTGATGTTGTTGTTTTTGTGTGAGAGACATCGCAGGATTCCTGATCCTTATCCCTCAATATCGTTCGTTTCGGTGCATTCGTTTCGGCCTCCATGGCCAGCCAAGGCCGGCTGCCAGTCAGCTGATAATCGAGTTGTCTTAACTCTGGGTATAAAGGGACTCTAATTATCATTATAGGCACTGTCATGACCAGCACAACAACACCCACTACCTTCAGACAACACTGCCACTGCCCTGATCTAAAAGAGGTGCAAGAGAACTTGTCTTGAAAAAAGTATTCAAACGAATTATGGACTCTGAGTTGTGGTCTGTAAGACCATTCGATCACTCTCCCCAAGGAGAGTAAATTTCTGCTGTAAAGATTATGACCGCGGCGAAAAATTGTGAATTTAGAAGTCTCGCTCCTAATCTTCGAACGAGTCTTCAGAGTTCAACAGACCTCTTCAAATGGTCTCATATAGACCACAACTTAGAATGCAGAGATGATTTGAATACTTTTTGAAGACAAGTTCTCTGCACCTGTTTTGGAGCAGGGTTGGCAGTGTCGCCTGGAGGTAAGGGATGTCTCTCTGCTGGTTGTGATAGGGCTCATACCTTAAGGAGTTATTTCCAGACTTATTTTTGGATGATTTGTTTTCCTCATGAAATTTGGAAGAGAAAACATGACGCATAGGTAGTGCTTTGACTCTTACCTTGCTTTGAGACTCACTAATGTTCGCATTGTCTGATATTCTTCCTTGGTTTGCTACATTTGAACTGTACAATGTTCAGCAAGCTACCTACATAAAAAAAGGCTATTTTCAATAAGAACAATTTAAGCAGCGGGTAATTTTCACACAAATACCACCAAAACGTTTCGGCTGAAAACTCAGCCTTCCTTAGTTGGATAACAGTAAAAAAAATTTAAAAACCTAAAAACTTAGTACTTGCTTGTACCTTTCAAAGCTAGAAAAATATTGTTCGGGATTATTCTGAAACACTTAGTATTTCTTAGACAGTTCTTAGGCTTTGAGGAGCCCCCCCCCCCCAATTCTTTTTTTTAATTTGTATGCCCTCAGACGTTGGTAGTCAACCGACTTCTTTAAGAAGTCTTCCTTGAGAATAGTTGAGAAGTTTTTGAGCTTGGAAATTCAGTTTTTTATTCCAAAGAGACAAAACTTTTGAAAAATCTTTTGTACATTATTATTTGGTCAGATACTAGTCCATCGTTCCATGAGTTTTGAGTATCTTGTGTATGCTTGGAGGTATCATGTAGATCTGGAAAGAGAATCTACTTGAGATGAATAGGTATTCTTAAAGATCTCATTGCCAGTAAAGTGCATTTTTGCAGTTGAAGATCACTAAAAGTTCTCGAAAATGTTTAATATTTTCTTAGCTTTGTTGAATAATCCCTGCATGTAGGGATTTATCGTACTATTATATTATATTATAAAAACCATTTCTATGCTTCTATCATTTGTTTTCAATTTTTATCTTACAGGTCAAATTAGAAGCATCAAAATGTCTTGGTGAGCTTGGAGCCACGGACCTGAGAACACTGATTCTCCATCCTGAAACCTCCAAGGATGGTCAAACAAATCACTCAGCCGAACACTTGTTTCTTGTCAAATCGCTTCAACTTTTAACCAACAATCTTACAAACAAAAACATACACCTGATAGAAGTTGCTAGTAAATCCCTGTACCTTATCTTTGCTACATGTATAGAAGAATCTTTTATTAGCAGGCAACTTAGCGTTGAGGATAAAGAGTTCATCTATCCTTTTATTTCTGCTGGCAGCTCACAAGGGAAAAAAAATTCAAAGGATCTGTTGAGCTCGTTTGACGTCGAGCAGTTTCAATTGAACTTTTCACCTTTAGAATCTAGCCTCACCATTCGAGATGATATAGACTTTGAAGAGTGGCTCACGCAATTGCTTTTGTCTATTTTTGATGCTCTTGCTGACAAAGAGTGTTTTCTGTATTCGCTGAAAGCTGTTTGTGTTGCAAAACCGGGCATTGGAGAGGAGCTACTACCATATATTTGTTATTTATTACTGTCCAACAGCATTAAACCATTCCATACGGTCTTTAGTCGTTATCTGAAACATTTTTTCAAGGCTTTGTCTACAGCCGTAAATGCTACAATTCCTGGCAAATTTATATTTCTGAATCACAAAGCCGTTCAGTTGCTGTTGAATGTTGTGTTGTTCATACGGTTAAAACAGAAGAGGCCAGATCTGGATGTTCTTAACCTCAACTATTTGCATGTGGCACAAGGGGCGCAACATTGCTCAGAGCACTTCTCAACAGTTTTCTACGCTGAGATTTGGTGGAATCAATTGATAATGGATAATGATTGGCCTTCACCCTGGGGACTGAATATGACTGCTGTTGATTATATCTGTGAGCAAACACCGGAAGATGGCAAAGTCTTGCAGAACTTACTGCGGCAGGTAAATCTTTACATCTTATTATTTCATTTAAAAAGAGACAAACCAGAAAATGTTAATTGTCAACCCAATTATATTTTATTATATTTGTAGATACAACCTCAATCGCCCTTGTAACTTTGGTAGAAAAGAAAAAGAACTTGGAATAATAATCAGCGATGAGCCAATTCATTTTCCTCTTTTTTTACTAGAATTTTTGTCAGCTTGAAAGACAAATGTTGGCACACATTGTCACCTTCCAGCCAAAGTATCTTGAGCTCTGTGCACACTTGGAAGCTATGTTGCTAGACATCTCATTATTTTTTCACTTTTTCCTTCAAAACTGTACCTAGCACATTTTTTTGTGAAAATTTCAGAATCTTAATGAAAGAAGAAGCATCAGGTGAAATTTTTAATAGATTCTGTTGATTAGTTTCTCTGTCAAAAATCGGAAAAATTGGATAAGTTTAGTAATACTGTGCCCAAACTCGAACGCTGCTTCTGATACTTTGGCTAGTGAGAGTGACGATATTATGAGTTTCTGTAGACCTTGACCTCCATTCCCTCATTGAATTTTCTAAAAATGACCCAACATGTTTCTGAAATTTTAAGCATTTCTGACTGGAATCAGTATTTGAGAGTCCCACTCTTAAACTTTTCCTTGTATTCATTTTTCTTTGAAAACTGTTAAAAGTTTTCTGATTCATCATGTAACTTTTTTAACAATGAAAAATTAATTGAACTGTGAAGTTTTGTCAGATCAAACTATCTTTCTTGAACCAGTATTCGATGTAACATTTCCAAAATGTCTATTTTTAACATTTTAACTGCCACGATTAGCCTTATAATTCGCTGCAAGTTGAGAGGCACGAAAAAATTGCAAGGATGACAGATATTGCTCTGAGGCTGCAGTAACGTCCTCTCTCAGACGCTAATGTAGTGCGGAAATGATGTACAATGGCCTCCATAAGTGCCAGTCTCTCCGTGCTCTACATGGCAAATGAGAAGCATACCAAGATGTAAAACGTCCATGCTGACTGAAAATCTCCTTGTTTCTTATCAAATTTTTAATTTCTTCCCTCTGTGGTCACTGAAAAACTTGAGGATTTTCATCTGAACAAAGAATCATGAAATTTTTTAATGTATCAGTTAATCTGAAAATGATTCTCATCTATCTGGCTGTGGTAAATGCTGCAGCTTATTATATGCATTACGCTCCATACCAAGTTAATAATTCTTAATCTCAAAATAGGCCTCAATTTTTCTCTTGTCTCTGATCCTCAGGCGTATACCAGTCTTGGAGACATTGATGCCGTAAAAGGTTGTGGCAGTTATCATTTGTTGGATGTGGATTCTCATGTTGAATACTATCGGCAGACAAGTCAGTGGCAGAAAGTGCTTGAGGAGCAGGATCTTCAACTATCAAACTCTGGAAGAACACATATTCATTCAGGTATTATTCTCCGTTTTGAGTTTCTGAGTTTTCCTGACAATTTGAGTCCATGCTCAATAAGTTTACCCTTGCTTAGACTGCGACAGAAGATCCGACGTCTTGATTCTTGCATTTACTTTCAATGCTTATGGGATGTCAGATCTTCTGTTGCAGTTTGAATGTGCATAAACTTATTTGGCAAGGACTTTAGCCCCTAATCAATTACTAAGTTCCTGAAATGGTTGACAAAGTTTGCTGAAATTTTTATGTCTTTGGGCCTCTCTGAGGCACCCAAAAGCTACAAAAATGATTTTGATGTTAAGAAACGATTATCATACTAAAATCCACTGTAAATTTTGTGCGTAGCGCGAAACTATAAGGGGTGTTCAAGTAGTACACTATAATTTTTTTGCAAGTTTTTTTTATCAAGCTCTTGTATTTGTATTGAAGAGATATTTTTTCTTTTCATATTCAATACAAGTAAATAAGAATTTTGTTTTACTATTATTTTGAAGCAAAATATTAATGGGATAAAGTTTTTTGAAAATATTCAGGTATTGCATGACAAGGCGGAGGGGGGGAGGACGGATCTGTGTTACAGCAGACTACAAGAACCTCAGTTGTGTGGCGTACTTTGCGATCTATCGATTGACCTGCCATTTGGAACTATGGAAAAAGATCGACTGTGACGGGATGTGATGTCAATGACATCACTATCCTACAAATTGCAACAAGCTCCTTAATAATCGATTCTTTACCATGGTTTCAAATGGGGAAATATCCATAATCGATCACTCATGCCTCGCCTTTGATGTACCGCAATACTTGATTTTAAATAGATGGGAAAAGGGAGGGGACAACATTACATAACAAAATGATTTCGGACTCTGGAAAAAAACCTTTAGATTTACCTAACATAGTTTGCCCCTTTAAATAGGTACATCCTGTAAAATCATAGTCTCACTGCAAAGTAATTTCCATTTGTTAAAAAGCATCTCTGAAGTTTTGCTTTATGGTGTAGTTTCAAGGTTAAGTATGAACTTTTTGGTCACCTCACTCCTTTGTCTATCTCTTTAAGTTTAAAATTACCATTCCTAAGTTTTGGTTCTTTCTCTGAGCACAGATATTATGAATTCAATGAAGAACTGCGGCCTCTACAGTTTGGCAGACCAATTAATGAAATCTGACGAAAGTGAGTCCATATCGGACTTGCAGTATGATATTAGCTGGCGCCTATCCAACTGGTCCCTCAGTATGAATGGAAATTGCAGTACGTATGAAAAATGGCACTATGCAGCTTTAAAATCACTCCATGTTTCGGACGTAGAGAGTATGAAACTTAATCTCAAGGAGGCAAGACTCAGTGTTCTGGAATCTCTGTCATCGGCCAGCCTGCAATCCACGAAGAACATCTACCCATTTTTATCAAAACTTCAGTGTCTCCAGGTGCGTTCCTGCATTGATAAGTTATAGTTTTTGCTGTTACTTCAGTTTACCTGATTCGTTCTTGCAGCCTCTCTTTGTGCTCAAAAGTACTTCAATTTTGAGGAATGAACCAGATATATTTGAATGAACTTGAAATTTCCTTTAAAAATGACTAAATATCTGAAGAGAATGTGTAGAAGAATCAACAAAACATTTAAAATTGATCAGAATGCACATAACAATCGTTGTATGTTGAAAATTAGTGATTTACAAAACATTATTCAGGTAGTCTACATCATTTTAATTAATGAAACGAATTTGTAATTCTAGGAAATTGAAGATGTTAATGAAGTCCCCATTTTGAGCTCTGGAAACAATATTGACTTCCTGTACAAGTGGAGAGCTCAGACACTGTCTAATGGTCACAAGTCCATTGAATTTGAGTACCTGGAGCCCCTCTTGAGTCAGCGTGCAGTGATACTATCAATGAAAAAGTTAGATGAATTTCCACAGATGTGTATGGAAATAGTAAAAACAGCTCATTTGGAAGGGCACAACCATGTTGCAAGAAGACATCTCAAAATGGTTGCCAGATGCCCTGATCTCAGTGAAGATCTGCAACAGAAGTTGCGTCTTGAAGAAGCCCAGTTGTTCTGGTCTGAAGGCAATGTTTTTATGGCAAGGTATTGTATCTGTTTTTACTTATGTCAAATTTTTCAGTTTTGTCCTCTGTTGCAAACCCTAAAATGCATCATGCATTATTGAGGCACTGGATGCAAAAAGGGCACTTCTTGATTGCAGTGTTTCAGAATCTCTGTTGCTTATTAATCCCTTGGAGAAGCATTTAATGGGTGATTTTGCCAGAATTCTTTCCATAGAAAATTGTAGAATCACAAGGAATATTAAGTGAAATGTTTAGTGAAATGGATGCATTCACTTTCCTTACAATGAATGAAATATTAGAGGAGACTCTGAAACACTGCAACCAAGAAGTGCCCTTTTCGTACCTAGTGCCTCAATTCATATTTTCAATGGTCCTCAAGAACAGAGACTCTTCTCAGAAGAATAATTTTCAACAAAATTTCAATTCCGAATGTTGCTCGGTTTTTTTTTAATTAAAGGACACATGAGAAGAGATTATGCAGCGTCTGATGTAGTCAGGCCAATTCTGGTTGAATGAGGTAATTTTAGCAAATTTTATTATTAGTTGATCCCTTTTTGTTTCTCATTCCTGTGAAATTAAATAGACCAATCTTTTCTTCCAATTTTCTTTCAATTATAACTTATCAGAAAGTTTTGGAATTCTTGCCGGTTTGATTATTTCAATTGCTATTTCACAGAACTTTGATGAGATCTTTATTGAAGGAACTAGAAACTCAAAGTGTCATGACTAGCTTCAAATCAGAGGTGTTCAGAATCTATGGTGGTTGGATGGCCGATACAAACTCAGACAGTGCCCAAAATATAATTGACAAATATCTACTGCCGGTAAGTTAAATTTGTCTTGTTGAAACTTAATAGTATTAAAATTACTATGATTTTGATCCCCTACTGAGGATATGTGAGCTGTAAAAATGTGATGAGCTTTAGTGCAGCCATGATGTATTACTGGAGTCCTCATGCTTGAGGAATAGCCTCCGTAACATCTTTTTGAGTGTCCTTATGTTCGGACTTGGGTTGCCCTAGTTGGAGTATACTCAAAAAACCTGGGAATGTCAGGGAAAATGATGAAAGTATCGGGCAAGAATTGCTTTTTAAAATGAGTTTGACGTTTCGAGCAAGAAATTTTGCCAAAAAACCATTCCAAATTATGTTTTTTAAACTACCTATTGTACAAACCTTCAAATGTTATAAAACTTTACTAAATTGTGTGAGGGAAATCAAGAGAAATGTCAGAGTTTCATATTTAAATGTTGTGGCAACCCTGGGGTTTGATATTTTTCAAAATTTGTGGATTCAATGTAAGCTTATCATTGAAAGGGCGAGAGCAACTTTCAACTCAAAGGGCCGTTAGTTTTTCAGTCTTCTGCTTTCTTTTCTCTGTAGGCAACAAAAGTATCCTCATCAAGCAGTGATATGAAGAATACAAAACTTGCCGCCTATGATCGCCTTGCCCGGTATGCTGACTCACAGTATCAAAATATTCAGCGGTATATCAAATCGGACACTTTTCAAAATAAGGTATACTCATTTGTACAGGGTCTCTTTTGGATGCTATTCTGTACCCATAGTATTTTGATTTTGCTGGAACTACGTTCACGAATTACTTGATGCCGCAATCACACGCTGAATGTGGGAGCTGAATGTGGTTTGAATGTGGAAGTCATCGGCCCGATGCCTGAATTTTGCGCGTAACGCGCAAAATTCAGCAACGATTCTCAGCAACCATCGGACCAATTTTGAATTTTTTTGAACTATTCGAGTAGATTTGATACACATCTGGATGAAAATAACTCTAATTTGCTAAATTTCAGCTGTTGGGCGATGACTGTTGACTTCCACATTCAGCTGCTAAATTCAGCGTGTGATTGCGGCATCAGCCAAATAAAAACACCAAATAGTGGATTTGAATAATTGATCAATGTTTTTAGGCTGTGCACTCTACTTACATAGACGTTATTCTATGTAAGTAGAGTGCAAAGCCTAGGTAAAGTCTAGGTAACCGAAAATTTTCAAGGTTTAAAATGCTATGAAAGAGATCATTGAGAAGAGGAGAGTGTGGTATGAGTACGTCAAAAAATGGTCATGGAATGCTCGGCAAAAGTATTTGTCAGAAAATTTGCTTCATATGCATTTCAAAGAGTTAGGAGCAGAGCTGACCCTCATCTTTAAAATATGAGCACAATATATCATCTTGCGAACTGTAGCAAGTCTGTCTGATGTATTATTCAAATAATTTTAATTTTCTTGCTTCATCTCGCTTAGTTCTTTAATGTTTCTCCAAATAAGGAGAAAAAAAAAACGCCTTTAAACAATTATAATAATTGTAAAAGAGATTGATAAAAATGTGTGAGATTTTCTTACATCTCTCTCTTTAAGCATCCCTGATTTGGGAGGAGGAAGAAGTGCCTTTAGATTTGATAAATTTAAAAATGTGCAATTTGGACTACGCAAAGTGAGTATCGAGAAGTGAATTTTAGACTTAAAAATATTCTTAATATGATTTTTATGTGATGTTAATTAGTTGCATGATTAACTTGCTAGACCCACTATTGCTCATTCCAGTAATTTCAGTTTTTTCTATAAACAAAGGTCTGAATCCGAGTAGGGTAATCTGGTTTTTTTTCTGTTCTGTCACATCAGAAAGCGGGTGTTGAATGGCAAGATGAGGTAGCTGGTAAATTCAGGAAAGCAGGAACCACGACAACAGATGTCAGACGTGCTGTGCTTTTACACTCAAAACAGAGTATCAACGATAGTACAGAAATTAGAAACACCTACAAGGACCAGGAAAGAAGTTTACTCCTAGCCATGCAGTGAGTTTTCAGATTCGCCGTCCACATGGCTGACCAAAATTTATCACTTTAAAGTTTCGATTTCAAGTAATGTTAAGACGCAAAAAAAAAAAAAAAAAAAAAAAAAAAAAAAAAAAAAAAAAAAAAAAAAAAAAAAAAAAAAAAAAAAAAAAAAAAAATAGGTACAAAATATAATTTTAAAAGGATCTTGGAATGTAATTTTCAGTTTCATCATTATCAGATCAAACCAATTTATCAATGTCATAGAGTTCCAAAAGATGTCTGCCTTCCAAATTTTTTTATGCTCACAGAGTCTCTAGATTTGCCCAACCCAACAGTTCAAAAATTCAAGACAACGATTAAAAGTTAGAAATATTCTCAACATCTGGGAATGAAAGGCTAAATTTTCTCAATTTTCTCATATGGACGTATTTATGCTAAAAGGAACTTGGTGCAAGTGGAAAGATGGGGTGTGCTTGTGGAAGCTGCATAAGAAACAATGTAAAAGAAAATGGATATAGTTCCTTTTGAGGAAATAGAAAAGCGAGATTTTCAATTAAAACTAAAGGAACTGAGCGCTAACTTGTGAGTCATGGACATGTGACAAGAGCCTTTTGGACAGGGCTCATGAGTTGAAGAGTCCTGCCACCAATCTCCCTGTCGTGCCCGGGCTCGTTCGTTGCCGCTGACGTCACTGGCGCTTTTAAATTCCCATTCATTCTTATGGCCCTCAAGTAACGAACACACCCCATCTTTCCACTTGCACAAGTTCCATATAGCATAAATACGTCCATGTAATCCATAATCCGCGAGATTCTTTTCTATATTCCTGATTAAGGCAAGAAAATTGGAAGAATTATATTTTCATCCTAGAATGATTTCTTACTGGGAACGCCGTTTTGGAGTATCAATTGTATCCTTTAAAATGTTAGTTACTCTCTCAACAACAAAGTGTTAAAACTAATTAAACTGTTTCAGATGTTACATCAGAAGTTTAGCTGATGGAGACAGTGAAGACATGAGAGTGTTTCGTGTTGTTGGTCTATGGCTAGAAAACACGACCAGTAAAGATTTGATGGATTTTTTGGTGAAAGCTTTAAAATCTATCCCAACCTACAAGTTTATCCCTGTTCTGCCTCAGTTAATTGCACGGCTGACTGATAAATTGGATTCAATCTTTGCTCAAACTCTTTTTACTCTAATAGGTTAGTGCCAGTGTCAACCTGTTGTCCTATCACATTGTTTTCATGCACTACAAACTACACATCAGATATTAATTTTGGAATAATTGGTAGTGTCGAACACTCTTAATAATCACAGTTAAATTGAAGTGGTGATAAAAGAAAGCAAAAAAAGCAAATGGATTTTAGTCAAGTCCTTTACAACAAAATTATCATCATCTTTAAATATTTTGGCCTTCCTATTTTGATTAGCCTTTCAACTATTTCTTTAAATTTAATTTTTTTTTAAAGACAGAGGTATGCTTGAGCTTTCAGGGTATCTTTAGGTGTGAAAAATCTTGAAAAAGTGTGGAGATTTCAAAGGCTGTCAGAAATTACTGGCAAAATATAAAATATACATGAGAGGGCAAGAACTTGTTGAATTAGAGATGATGGCTAAAGAAGCTGTCTTGAGCGTCAGGCTACAACTAACTCCAAGCATGTTTGACAAAGAGCATAAAGTGCAAAAACTGGTAGGCTAGCCATTTTATGAGCATCATATCAAGTTGTCCAAATGCTGTACCCAAAAACGTCCTCAAAAATACTGTATTCCTTTTGGGGATACTCAATTTTCAGTTGTTAATTAGAAAACTTTAAAATGTCCTCAATATTTAAAAAAAAAAACCTCAGTCGAAAGGTTATCATCATTCAGGTTACTATAAAGACTTGGATAGTGGACTGTCCATTGGCATTTCCAGAAATAGTTTTTAAATTTTCAGTAAATATTTTTACTCTGTGTTTTTTTTCAGAAAAATGCGCTGCTGAACACCCTCATCACACATTACCCCTGATTTATGCCCTTGCAAATAGCTATAAAGATCGCGAAACGGAGCCAACCCCCACAGCTCGAGTCCTGGGTGCTAGGGCATTGATCACCAAACTTCGTGAACGAGCAACTCTTTCCTCGATGCTCAAAGACATGGACATGGTATGCGATGCGTACATTTCCCTGGCTAACCTTCCTATTGAAGCCAAAAGCCGATCAACCTCATTCACAATCCCGAAAACTGAAACCATCACAAAATTGAGGGACATTTCCACAGTTTTGTGCCCAACTGTCTCGCTACCTATTGACAAGAAAGGAAACTACTCAAATATAGTGGGCATCAAGTCAGTAGAGAATTCATACTCCACCCCAGGAGGCGTCAATGCCCCAAAGAAAGTTATATGCCTTGGCACAGACGGGATGAAGTATACTCAACTGGTCAAAGGTCAAGATGACCTGCGGCAGGATGCTGTCATGCAACAGGTACATTATTTTGTTTAAACTCTATTTTCAATCTAATTCTAAATCTTTTTCATATTAAACGATGCTAGATGCTATTGCAGGGTAGGTTACATGACCTGTTATGGAAACCTACAAAAATGCTCCTGTAAAAGTAAAATTCGTTGCTTTTTAAATCTTGCATACAGACTAAACGGTCTTGACTGTTCTGGTCTGTTCAGGTTTGACTTAACTGAGCAATTTTTTACAACAGCAACCGGGAGAGAACCGCACTAGAAAGAGCCAAACATTAGGGTAGCCAAAACGGAGGTTTGAACCGCATGCTAATTGTTTTTGTATTCACCCGTGACAATAAAAATGGCAGCGAAATTCTTAGTGAAAGAATGCACATTAACGTTGTATGTTGTTTTTTAGCAGAATTTTTTAGGCCGTGCCAATTTAATTCTTCAAACAAGTTTGGCGAAAGTTTTACCATTGTTTACAAGTCTGAACCAAGACCAAAAGATGGAGTCTGCTTCTTCCTCAGAACGTGGATTATAATATTTCAGTTACTTTTTTAATTTTTTTTGGTCACGCCAATGAATTTGATTTGTATCGTTCAGTAGTATTCCATGTAGGTTGATATTGTGAATCCCTCACATAACGGTCATCTAGCTCTGTTCCAGCTCTCTCTACCATATTATTTCATTTATGTTTTTGTGATCTGACATTAAGTTAAGTGCACTGCAAGCTGTGTTGGTTTTAATGTGCGGGTGAGGCCTTTCTCAACAATTAGAGGGGAGATGCGTGCATGCAAGTGCATGCACTTCGATACAATTATAACTATATTGATAGATTTATGATTTTCTTATGAGATTTTGATCACTAGCTGATCCTGAAAACCTCTCTATTTTAATAAAATCATTCTTAAGACGCTCGATGGACGGGGTGAGGAAGGAGAGTTAGACGGTTCAAAGGTCAAATTCCAAAGAAGGAATCAAAATTCAGATGAAGGAGAAAGCCATTAAGAATATTGTTTGGCGAGAATTTTTTTTTTGGAACATTGTTTCGTTATTCAATTATAATTATTTGCTCATTGATCGCCAACGGACGATTTCGCTGTATGCAAAGCGATGAAGCGGGCCTTTAGGGGCACGCAGCGCCCCGAATATTTCAAAAAATGATTTTTGACTTTATGATGCCACTTAATATTTACTACAATTTTCATATTTGAAATTTATTTTCCTGTGTGTTGTAGGTCTTTTCAATTCTGAATAAACTGCTCTGTGAAGACAAAGACACAGCAAAAAGGAAGCTGTTGATTCGCACTTATAAAATAGTTCCTATGTCGCAACGTAGCGGTGTTTTAGAGTGGTGCATGAATACACAGCCTCTTAGCATGTACTTAGTGGGAGCCAATCAACGCAGTGGAGCTCATGTTAAATACAGGTAATTTCATTGAAAATAGGCACTAATGATCTAATTTACCAGGCCTGTTTGTTCCCTTGAAAAGGTCAGAAATCTGAAGGAGATACGAAGAAGCAGGAAATTGTAATGTTTGTGTCAGCATCTTACAAGACAAAAACATACATTCCCCAGCTCTTTGCACATCTGAAGAAACCTGTTAAAATGGTAGAATAGTGAAGAAATCAGAATGAAAAAAGTGAGATGCTTCAAGTGTTAATGATGTAGGGCATTTAAAGAGGTGGAAAAGTCCAAGAACAGTTTTGAATTTTAAATATACATTATTTGCCTTCAAAAGTGTAGTACATGCTTACTTTTCTGCGTCTATTTTCTTTTTAAAAATTCCGAAATTATTTTATTTCAAAAGAAAAAAAGTGAAAAATGAGTTGCAATGGAAATAAGCTGTAGTAGTTAAAATAGACGTATTTTGATTTTGAGTTATAACCACTCATTTCATTTTGATCATACTGACTTTTCCCCATTAAAAATGAAAATGATCACAAAACCAAAGTTTATGATAGGTTCTTCAGCTTTCCATATTTTTTATAACCCTGTCAGTTATTTCATGTATATCAAATCGTTCTGTGTTTTACTGTAACCATATATTTAATTTTTTTAGGCCCAAGGACAAGCCTTGTTCCGAGTGTCGTTCTGAAATCGATAAGGCTGCGCTGCAAAAGGCCAGCAACCAAGAGAAACTCAACATTTTCAACAAAATTTGCAAAGAACTGCAGCCTGTGTTCCGTTACTTCTTCTTTGAATATTTTCCATCTCCCGGCATATGGTTCGAGCGCAGAATTGCATACATTCATAGTGTAGCCTCCTCCTCAATGGTCGGATATATTCTTGGCCTTGGAGACAGACATGTAGTGAATATACTTATCGATAACTCCACAGCCGAAGTCATCCACATTGATTTTGGCATTGCGTTCGAACAAGGACTCACACTGCCATGTCCTGAAACTGTTCCATTCCGACTGACCAGAGATATTGAGGATGGTATGGGCATTTGTGGCGTTGAAGGTGTCTTCAGAACGTAAGTAGGGATCTCTTTATTGCGCCAATAGGTGATCCTTAGGCTTAGAAGATCCTTTGAATTATTTTAATCGAAACACTTGGGACAATTTTTCAAAGACATGCAAAAATATGTGAGGTCCTGAATTGAACTCTCATGTATTAATTTTTTACCATCTCATTCATACAAAACCGAAAGAAACGAAAACAAAACCAAAACTAATAGAAAAAAATGAGGCAACAAACAGTGAGCTGGATGGATAGAAAGAACAATAGAAAAGAGAATCGAAAAATTGGAAAACTCAGACTAAAGAAAGTAATTAAAATAAACGCCAATGCAGTTTGTTCTTCCTTTAAGGCTGAAATTCCAACTGGACGTATTTATACGAAAGGGAACTAAGCGCCAAATTTCCAAATTTCAGTTTTTAACGGATCTGGATTCTCCATGTAATAGGCTGCTCTCACACGTAAATATGCCCCCAAAATACTAATTTCATCCCCTGGAATCAGCCCCTGAAAAATCGCAAAACAGGGAATCAGCGATTACGAATAAAATCAAAAGGAGCTATATGTAATTCCCTTTGATTTAATGCGCTAACCCGGATTCCGAATTAAATCAAAAGGCGCTATTTCCACTTGAATCACTTGATTGACGCGCGCGCGGCGAAGCTTGGTGGAAACTTGGTGAAATTTAGTACCGGGGGGTATTTTTGGACGGGAAACTCGAATTTCGGGTCAAATTTTGAAAATTCAGAAATCCAAGATGGCGGACATGGCCTAAAATGCTATCTCGGCCCCTGTCCAGCCGATCTTGGTGAAACTTGGTATCAGGGGGTATTTTCGCATGGGAAACTACGCACCTCGCTTCGTGCGTGGGAAAAACTTCGTGCGTGGGACCCGAAGTTTAGGTCATATGGATCTGTGAAGTTCTCGGATTGAGCATCTGAACACTTTCGGTCCAGCTGCTGAGGTTTTGATCGCACATCTGAGACTTCAGTTCTTACATCTAAAGTACTTCGGTTTTCACATCCGAAAATTTCGGTTCTCACATCCGAAAATTTCGGTTCTCACATCCGAAAATTTCGGTTCTCACATCCGAAAAACTTCGGTTCTCACACCTAAAGACTTCAGACGTAAGAACTGAAGTTTCAGATGTGTGATCCGAACCTCGACAGCTAGATCTAAAGTGTTCAGATGCTCAATCCGAAAACTTCAGAGATCCATATGACCCAAACTTCGGGTCCAACGCACGAGTTTTTTTCTCCGTGTAGAGTGCCATATATTTAAAGTTTACAAACGTGGAAATTTCCACATCTCATCCACATTGGCAAGATGCGGCGGGAAAGCAGATTGAGGTTAGGTAGGTATATTTGGGCTCCCACCACCTCCGGCCTTCACAACCCGGCCCGTGCGCTTTACGCAGGTTCATTGGCGGCCATTCTAGACGTGTAGTGCGTTTGTTTAAGAAATAGATATCATTTTAAGCCACATCCGCCATCTTGGATTTCTGAATTTTCAAAATTTGACCCGAAATTCGAGTTTCCCGTCCGAAAATGCCCCCTGATACCAAGTTTCACCAAGATCAGCTGGATAGGGGCCGAGATAGCATTTTAGGCCACGTCCGCCATCTTGGATTTCTGAATTTTCAAAATTGGACCCGAAATTCGAGTTTCCCATGCGAAAATACCCCCTGATACCAAGTTTCACCAAGATCGGCTGGACAGGGGCCGAGATAGCATTTTAGACCACGTCCGCCATCTTGGATTTCTGAATTTTCAAAATTGGACCCGAAATTCGAGTTTCCCATGCGAAAATACCCCCTGATACCAAGTTTCACCAAGATCGGCTGGACAGGGGCCGAGATAGCATTTTAGGCCATGTCCGCCATCTTGGATTTCTGAATTTTCAAAATTTGACCCGAAATTCGAATTTCCCGTCCAAAAATACCCCCCGGTACTAAATTTCACCAAGTTTTCACCAAGCTTCGCCGCGCGCGCGTCAATCAAGTGATTCAAGTGGAGATAGCGCCTTTTGATTTAATTCGGAATCCGGGTTAGCGCATTAAATCAAATGGACCTACGTGCAAAAATCCCCTATATCTCGCTTAATATGCATTTTTTCCTAATTTTGGCAACGTACGTAATTAGAGGAACTCTTTAGCTTTCAAACACGCTAAAGTAAACCAAAATCGGTTCATTAGTACGGAAACGCCAATTGTTTTAGTCAAACTTGCTTTACTGAGAAGTTTGGAAATGGCGTTTAGCGCCTTTTCACATAAATACGTCCAACTGTCAGTCTTGTTATCCAAATCAAATGGACTGTATTGTGCAATTAGAAACCACTATTTCTGACAAATCTATAAAAACTCTATTCTGCCGAAGGAAACGAATGGCTCATATCGACGGCGTAAGTCCGCAATCATATATGTATCTCGTCTGCGGTGTCTGAAAATCTCCGCCTCTATGTTATTTTTTAAAGGAGAACAAATTTGACATCATTCCTTGAAGTTTTTGCAGAATTTTTTCGCACGGAGAAGAAGAATCACGGCAGTTTTAAAGAATTGCCGCCGAGTAGTTTTCTGTTAAAAAATAAAGTATGACAGGAAGTCTGCAACGTTGCAAACCGAGTTATGTAATTGCCGACTTACTTTGTCGATATGTTGCCTCCGAGTGAGGCAGAAGTAGTATGTAGCAGCATCTTATTGCGCAATGTATTCCAAATGCTCTTTGATATCTGCTCTATACTGAATAACTCTGACATTTAGGATTAGGGTGAATACACTATGGTAATCTGCAGTAAGTTTTAATGAAACCATCTGATTTTTCGAAGTTGACTGATGAAATAAAGTGGTTTTGGCAAGGCACAGTGCTCAAAAAAAGGCAGCACTGCAACAGTTTATTTCAATGAAAACCCAAAAAATTTCAACAGTTGCCATCTCCTCCTCTCTTTTTTTTTAACTTTCAGGAGTTCTGTTTTATACAATGTGAATCCCGACAAATTTTTTGCATTTTTTCGATTCATTCATTCATTCATTTAATTTCTCTAATACTTCTCAAAAATGCTTTATAATTTCAAAAATACCATCATATTTCATCAAGTCTGCATATTTCCCAATAAGATTAAAAACATAAAAAACATTCTATTTTGACTTATCTTATTTCACAGTTGCTGCGAGAAAACCATGTCAGTTCTGCGCTCCAACCAGGAAATCATTTTAACAACTCTGGAGGTTTTGCTATATGATCCTTTGTATTCTTGGGCCATGACACCTGAGGAAGCAGCGAATTTCCAAATGAACAAAAAGCGATCAAATACAGGTATTAGTCGCTTCAACAAATTATTAACCTGTTGATGGCCATACTGGCCTAAAGGGACCAGTAATGAAGGGTCCCACAAGGCCACAGAAACTGGCAAAGAAAGTAGAAAATTGATTTACATAGAAAGCTGCCAAGAAAAGCAATTATGATGAGATATCATGATATACTCTTCAAGACATTTTAGCATCGTTACATATATGAGGACTTATCTGTAACAATAGCGGATGTGAAAAATTACCTTTTAAAAACACGCTTAAAAAACTGCTTTGTTCACACAAAAATTTAATATGTTTGGCTCTGGCATAATGTACAGATCGCGAAGATCACATCTCAAGTATTTTCTCAAAATTTTCTCCATGCCAAAACTGTTTTTTTAATGTGTTTCGGAAAGGTAATTTTTCACATCCGCTATTGTTACAGACAAGTCCTCATATAGCAAACTGACTAATAGTGCTAGCAGCGCTCCAGAAGCTATCAAACAAAAGCCAGCGCTTGCGTAAAGCTAGTTTCTACAGGTACTAGAAAGCTTTGGCAGTCAGTGTGTCAAAGTTAAAGCCTTAAAGGCTGATTTTGGTTGAATTCGTCCAAGTTGAAGTCCCAAATTCAATAGTTATCATTCCCATGAAGTAAAGCATTCATTACAGAGATCTCGTGACTCATGCGGTAATCACCCATTTCTAAGCAATCATTTCTCTGTCATTAGTTAGAATGGGCTGTGCTCTATTATATTGAAATTGAGGTTGTAAAATGGTTCACTCATTGAGTTATTTTTCTTTTGAAATTTTTTCAGTGGACAACAGTCCTACATCACAAACAGAAGTTAATAAAACAGCAGAAAGAGCTCTTGCCCGCTTGCGCCTTAAACTTCAAGGAATGGAAGAAGAGGGCATTGCAACCAGTATTGAAGGCCAGGTCAACCGTTTGATTCAACAAGCCAAGGATCCTGCAAATTTATGCAAACTTTTCCATGGTTGGCAGGCATATCTGTAGGCTGTGATTAATAAAGACATAAAAGCTCGAAGAATCTCAGGACCCTCTCAAAAATCTGACTTTGATTGGCCTGACCAGGAAATAAGTAAGTCCTCAAGGTCCACAAGGTTGGTTCTAAAATTTGATGCCTAATGAAAAGGAAAATAAAAAGTTCATGAAGTTAACATTGCTAATATTTAGATTTTACTACCATTTTTAATCAAGCAGGCTTTTTTCTCCCAATCCAATCTCCTGATTTTGTCTTCTCCACTCCTGCAGCTTGATTTATTAAACTTGGGATTTTTCTATTAGACTTAACAAGACTAAAGTGTAAAATGGTGTTATGTGATTGGTCGATTAAGGGGCGGTAATTCAAGGAATTCACTAGGATTAAGCAATTTTCTATGAAACTGCCGATCTGATGAAGTCCTTGTGATTTCCTCATCACTTGTAGAATTTTAACTTGAGCCGTTGAAGCAGTCTTAATGATACTTTTTGAGATTGAATTGTGATTGTAAATTATTTATTTCTCTCAGGATGTTTTTACATAACTATTTTTTAGGAGTATTAATTTATTTAAATCGAACTGCGCATAATTATTTTGCGATTTGCCCAGGAAAATGGAACACTGTTTATTGTGGATAAAACCTAGAGTTCAAAGAATCCCAGCAGTATATCCAAGAGCAAAAATTAAGCACTCGGAATGTTTGTCTTACGGCCAAGCTGCCGTGATGTACACCCGAATTTGTTACCCGAAGTACTCACCGATCTTTTTCTATACTCATCACCTTTTTAACTTTCAGTACAAATTATACCGGTTTAGTTTGTCCGCTGTGAAGAGCGATTTTTATTTTTTCATTTTTTCCTCTGTACCTTTTTTCATTCCTTCTTTTTAGTTTAGTTTAGAGCCAATTTTTTTTCCTGCATTGTTAGTTCCTTCTTAATTTTTTTTTAAGTTTAAATTTTGCTTGCTTCTTTGTTTGTATTTCTTATGCTAAAGTGTTGAACTAATTGAAAAAATATTCTTCCATCACAATCATCGCTTTTAGCAGGTTCTGTTTGTTCAGCACTCAAAAGTAGACCTAAGTTTTCTTTTTTTTTCTTCACTTTTTTTTAACTTCGTCGGGTCTTACATGTAAGTGCCATATTTTTTTTTTTTTTTTTAACCCCAACTGTTAATAGGTCTTTAATTTTGTGTCTTGTTCACATGGTGCATCTAACGGGTAGAATTCATTGTTTCACTATATGGCCTAAAAATATTGTTTTGTATTTTTCTAAAGAATCCTGCGCTGTTCAAGTATGTTCTTATAGTGTAACCTCGCCCGAACCTTCCGATACGAGAGGATATTGCAGGTCTTAGACATGATTGGGGGTCAGGTGGGAATTGAAAATTTCAGTAGGCTCTTTTCTAGATTTTGTTGTTTTAATTTCTCTCTGATAATCCTATTATGAATACTTGAAATTGACCTTCCTAAAATTTAATTCTTAGTGTGAAAGAATAAGAATCTCCAGGTTACTACTCGTAATTATACTCATTTGATTTTTATACCGTTGAATTTATTTTTTAATAAATCATGTTATTTACTTTTTTAAAAAATAGTTCTCATTTTTTCCCAAATTTTGTTGTAAGAGTTAAAAAAAAAAAAATGTAGAGGTCTGGAGAAGTGCAGTGGTAATCATACACTCTATTTCTTAAGAAACAAAAAGTTTCATACTGAGTATCTCCCATTGATGTGAAAAAACTCTCATCTTGGTAATTTTGAGTGAAATATCTAGACGTCCTTTGATTGCTTATCTTGAGGAATTAGTTACTCGCAACAAAACAGACACCTCTTTTGTTTGGAGTGCATTTTCCAGCCCTCCTGTATCTCCAGTTCTATGTGCTGTCACACTCTTTACAGGCCCAGGGGTTCTCACGTCAAGAGGACTTCATTAAAGGTTTCAACATTTTTGTGCTAGTCCATTTTTTATCATGATGAAAGTTGATGGTTTTTTTACCAAATATTTTTTCAGCAGATTTCTGACATAGCTAGGATTAAGGAGAGTGACAAGAAAAAACTCAGAAAGTTTAACTTCGGCAATTGTATTCATTGTATGCATACAATAAAAGACATGCATGTAATATGTACAAATGCATGTGTCTAAATGCAGTAAAAAACATGTATTTACACTAAAATTACAATTTACAAGAGCAAAATAAAGAGGGCAGTTTATTTATATAGGTACATGAGACTGATTTAAAATTAAAACAAAATATCTTAAGCAATATGACACAGCTTATCAATAACTACATCTTTGGATCTAAAACATAACAAGAAAAGACATTCTTTGTGAGAGCTATTGTCGATAAATTATGCAAGCTTCTATGACGCCCACAACTTAAAATTCAGCAAGAAAAAGTAAGGCTCTTAAAAATGTCCACAACAATATTAATTGAAGGAGTTTATTAATAATCCTAGTTATGATTGAGTGTTGCAGAATAAAAGACAAATTAATAACAATATAAAACTTACATCCGAGAAACCAATTTTTCTGATGAATGAGAAATTTTGCGTTTTAAAGGGACTAAAACTAGGTACAGCATAGATAGTCAGCAGACGCTCACCAAGATTTTATTTCTATTCTTTTTTAAAATTTTTCAGTTTGAGCCGAGTTGAAGCTTGTTATCAATATTTTTTCGACAGATATTGACATTTATGTTTCATGCAACTTTTCCTCTCCAAAATATTAATTATGTCATGACCTTGCCAGTCCATTTACTCTGCTAAAATTTTACAACCAGCTTCAGCATTCATTCTGAAATTTTCTGCCGTCTTCTTATCATAGATAACAGCAGTAAACAAAACACATTTTTTTGTTTTTTTAAGTACATACAGGAGAAAACGAACAGAGAACCTGTGCTCTGAAAATATACTGTAAAGAAATAAGTAAAGTTCTGGGTAAAAATAAAATCATGGCTTAAAAAAAGTTACTGAAAATAATTTTTAAAAACAAGTGAGAAATTTGGACTCTGAGCTGAGAAAACCACTGACAAAAATTGCCAGTTATCCAGGCTTTACAATTAACTAAAATTGTGATACCAATACAGGCTACGATTGTTCAGATTACAAAGTTTAGTCGAGCTTTACACCAAACTTAAATCAGCTCTCAAAAAAACTGCACAGCAGTTCAACCAAACAGATTGTCAATATACTTGACAAGCAGTGGAACTGGGACAGATCAGACTGCACATTGCAAAAAAGAATCAAGAGCATGTGATCTTGCTGAGATTTGTTTGATAAATTAACTGAAACCAGTTCGAGACATTAAATTTACAGGGTGATTTTCTAATTTGATTGTTTTTTTGGCATTACCAGATAGACGCAGTTTAAGATTTTAGGTTCCCTTGTAAAAAGGAATCATACAATCTTGGCAGCAGGTGCAGCAGTCTTGTCTTCAAACCTTCTTCAAAATTTGATCCAATTTAGAAAAGGAACTTCAGGACAGTATGATAAAAAATAAATACAATGTAGGTAAAAGTAAGGGTCCTCAAAAAAATTATTTTCTGTTGGTTTCTGTGAAAGAAATAAAGAATAAAAAAGATTCTTTTAATTGATATGTGAATAATTACACTATATTGTATTTGCAACCAAAGATGACTATAGCACTCGGTCAATAGGCAACTGGACATGATATGAATTAGGAAAAAGTCTCATATTTCTCTTCAAAAATCTTACATAGAAAACAATTCACACAAGAGGAAGTTCAGAGGTCAACTCCAGAACGAGGTATTAACAAATATTTTCAACACAGATCGAATGAAAGTTAGATTATACAAATGAAGTGATTTGTATTTTTACTATCTGACTAATGTTGATCGTACAGGCTTATATCTTGTTAAAGAGTTCATTTCCATACTTCCTCAGGTGTGATTCGTTTTTCTCATAAAATTTTGAAGAGAAAACATGTTACGTAGTGTTTTATTTCATACCATCTCCTTCGTTTTTTTTATTATCAGTTCAGTCCTAAAAAGCTAAGGTATTTTGCTTGATCTACAAAAGCAAATTTCCTGGATATATTGAAAAATTCCTGATGTATATTTTCCTAAATTATGATGAAGTATGATTAATATTGATTATTGGATGAAATTCAAGTACATATTAAATACTGATAAAATTGATCAAATGAGTTTTTGTTAATCGCTTCCAAGGCAAAGAAAGACAAGGAAATACATTGAAGAATAATAGCGCAATAAAGAGTGGACCTCCTGTTTTTCACACCACAGATATTGAGAGAATTCATGTAAGAGAAACTACTAATACTCATAAGACCTGATTTAAAATTGAAAAGCACAGGAAGACCGACATTTAAGCATCTTAAAGGGACTGAATGTCAAATCACAGCCAAGTTGGATAGATGATTAAAAGAGTAAAATAAAACAAAGTAACAACTTAGGTAAATCTGATAAATGGTATACAATAGGCAGATGTCTGATTCGTGCAAACTTTGAAGTCAGGGTCAAAATTTTGAGTATTCTTGGGAAAATGCATCAAGTAATGAAATTGCACATGCAATTAGGAGATATTAGTACAAAATGCACCAAAAATTATGAAACAAGCACAAGTATTCTAAAACGAAAAATGTTTACATAGAAATCAGCAGTTTGATCATTTTAAGACAACGTAAGATGCCTTTGATTTGTCAGCTTTCAGGTAAGACCTTTGAAACCTAAAACCGCATTTTCTCTAATATAATACTGAAGCACATATGTTAATAGTGAAGCTGAGACTCCATTATTCTTTTTTGATGCAACAAAGCGATACATAATTCTGCTGCAGCTCAAATTTGAACAGTTCCCAAATGGAGAGGAAAATCATAAAAATGACTGTAAAAACTAGGCAAAATGGCTCATGCAGAAAAGTAAAATTTTCTTTCTAGCTGTGAATTCAAATCACGATTCCAACTTGAAAACATTTATTTCTGAATCGGTTCCCCCAGCTGAGTAATAGATAAGTCATTCCTTCTAAAATTACAGCTGAAGATTATAGCTCAAATGATGAGTCACGAAGGTTGAGGGGAGTGGTGCCTCATAGTCTTGAAATGAGCTCAGACCTTAAGATAACACAGGTTCAAAGGGTTAAAGCTTTTCCATACTTTTCAGGATTTAAAAGCCAAACAGTACTTGTACAGGATTCACAGTTTGCAAGATTAAGATAGACTTGAGATAAAAGAGTCAAAGATATACTAACAACAAAAAAATAATCCCGACAACTGAGTCTTCATCAAAAACAAGTTTTTAGATTTTCAGCTCATCAAGGAAAATAACTTTTTGAAGATTCTTCCCACTTTCAATAACCACCCTTGATGAAAAAGCATTCCTAGCACCAAAAGTTAGTTCGTTATCATGTGTTTTTGGATCCTTTCAGTAAGATTTTAAAAAAAAAAAAAAATGACTGCAGATTATTAACGAACAGAGTGTGTTGACAAGATAGAATTACAATAAAAAATTAAAGACCCTTAAAAGGACTAAGGGCATAATCTCAAGATCTAAAATATAATCAGATTCAACAAAGTTTACGTCTATTAAAAAAAAAAAAGTTCACTGGGCCTTTTTCATCTCTTTGGTTAATAATGATTTGTGATGTCATTGTGTACAAGACAGATGCCCTGCCCTTCTGATCTAAACCTAATCTTCTGTTTCAGTGAGGGTAATATAATTCACAGGAGAGTAAAAAAGTAACAAGCAGAGAGTGGCGTTTTAACGAATTTGATTTTTCTGTTGAGAAAATTTGATGATTGAAAATTGAAGGGCGGGAGAAAATTACTGACCTCCTGACAAGCAACAAGTAATGATTCATATTTTTAAGTAGAGGACCATACTTTTGGCCATACTGTAAAAAAAAAAAAAAAAAAAAAAAAAAATATCCTACTGATCTTTATTTATTTGCTATAACATGCACAGGGCTTGGAAGTACAGATTTTTAAAAGCAGAAATTGAAATCCTGAAGGATTCATCCATTTCTTTGTAAGCACTGGTTATCAAACTGAATAGATGCAGTCTAAAGCATTCATACCGATAGACTTGAGGACTGAAAATTTTGATGAGCTCATAAACCAGTTGAAACATTCTTATAACTCAATACCCTTTTTTCTGAAGCAAAAAAATAAATCAAACTAATATGCTCATATGAGTTTAGCTAGGATTCAGACATACAGAGCAAAAATAAAAAAATAACAAACTATCCCAAAGGCTAGTGTCTTGACTAAATAACAGATATAAAAATAATTTTTGATAAAAGTTCCTCTATGACTTTTTGGTCAGTTCTTCTGGTTTTTCAAACAATGCAGCCATTTCTTTGATGCAGTACGGAGTGATGCGATCGCTTGCGCTGTGAGCTCGCTGGCGATTCACCCTGGAACAAAGAAGCATCTCATTTTATTTATGAAGATCTCTTCAAGAAAATAAAAATAATGCAAATAACTTGAGTAAAAAATCGAGTTAAACATCCAACATGTTTAGATAAACAGCCCACTCATAAATTACTGCATGGTGAAATCTTGGAATTTAGACCCCTTTTAAACACAGGTCTGCATCCCCTCCCCTTAAAAAATTGCACAACGCTTTGCTGAACCTTCCTCTTACTGTACAAAGACAGAATTTATTTGTAATACTTTTACCAAATTAATGGCACATTTTTAGAAAAGTCAATATTCTACATCACATCCCTCTCACAAACACCCCTCCCACCCGGAGCATTACATAATAATTAAAGGACAGCTCCTTTTAATTATATTAACTTTAATTGGACGTGTTTCTATCAAACAGAACTAAGCGCCAATTTGAGTTCTTTGTGAAGAATTTAGAATGCCGGATAGCGCGTTCTGTCAAACGGACCTAAGCACCATGGAAAAGCATTGCGAGTATAGGACGGAATAAGCCGGACACCTGATTCCGCCGCCAATCCAAGCCCCCCTCTACCTCCCTCACCCTATGGCGCTTAGGTCCGTTTGATAGAAATACGTCCAATTGTTCTTTACCCATGTTATTATCTTTATTGATGACCATCTACTTCAAACTTTCATAAATACGACAAAGGAATTAAGTTTACCTTGTTGATAAAAGCACCAATCTGTGTAGGAAAATTGATGACAATTTCTTGTTTCTCAAATAAGTCAAAGAAGTTGGATCTTTCTTGCATAATGCATTCCAATTTGTGTTAAAATTAATGTCACGAAACTAAAGAGCAATTTTACTCATTAACTGATTTCTCCTACTTATCCCCCCCCCTCCAAAAGAGAGCTGACGAATGATACTTTTGTCATAAAAATGATAACAAATGGACTGCATTTTGCAATTTGGACCTATAAATTATGGCTCATCTGAAAAAAACACGTATGTGCATAGGGAAACTAATGGCACATACGTTGTTTTTATACCGGGCTAGAATTTATAGTTCCAAATTGCAAAATGCAGTCCAAATATAAATAATGTTTTCGTCAAAGGACTGTAATCCTTATAATGCTTCCTTATTCGATTGTACTTACGCCACTGGAATTTGTCTTTGGTGTGAGAGAGATGTTTTTCGTGGTGCTGGAACGACACCATCTGCGGGTCCAATGAGTTGGTTCACACGCTGCGATACTATGCCCTTGCTCTCTGGGCTGATTTTTTCTTTCTCTTTCTTTTCAGGACTAGACCGAAAGTCAGCACCACTCCTCTCCCTTGATGAATAGTCTACGCTTGACTTCAATTTCAATTTTTGAGACGGCTTTTCTCCATCTTCACTACTTTTGTGTTTGATTGTGATGCAGGTTGCATTTTCTTTTGAAGCTGAGACTTCATCTTGTACGGCTGCAGACTTCGTGTCAGTCTCAGGGGTAATTGTTTTCCTCGTTGGAGAGTAACAGATACTGATTAATGTTTTGCCTGATGATAGGACTCCATTATCCGAAACAGATCGGGCAAAGATAGGTTTCTTGAGATTGGTTTCGGATAAATTTAAATTCGGAGGCGCCTTTTTGAGCTCCAAGTTCAGACATTTATCTAATACTGACCTACGGCTATGATTCTGGAAAGAAAAACGAAAAACATTTTTACTAGTTGCATTTCAGTGGTAAAATAGGAGTGAAGTTCTTTAGGGTTTTTTGAGCTTCCATGTATTAGTTAATTTGAGAAATGTAAGCATTTTAGAAATGGTAAGTCTTCACTCAGAAATCTTTTAATAAAGTCAAAAACTTGGGCTAAACACAGAAATTTTCTGACAAAAATTTTGAGAGCCTGAACCGTGCCACAATTATGTGCTATACCATGTGCTCATTTAAAATATGATTCTTACATCTTCCTGCCCAGAGGACAACAATTCAGTGTGTTAATGTCTATTTTCTGCTGTTCTAATATCTCATTACAACAGACTGCCCTAATCATCATGCTCATGAGAAAATTCGGCACTTTACTCATCAAAAAGAAGGGAGAAATTTTAAAATTCATCAAGAGAAACCACCCTCATTGAAGCTAAGAAAGATTTGGCTTAAAAATTCAAGATATCGCAAAACACACTTGGCACAACGCTTAAGAAGTGACAGAAAATAGAAAAACTTGCAGTTCCGACAAACATGAGCTCTAAGTTTGCCAGAATAGTTAAATTAGTTAAACTATCATCGGATGTTCTCAAAGTGTTATTTGGTAGGCATGCAAATATAAGTCTATCCCATGTCTTACAAGGGGAGGCTACCGATTGTCCCCCTCAGATCAGGTTCAAATTTGGCAGAGAGGTAGAATAGGTTAATATAAGAAACCGTATTTTTTTTAGGTGCCAATGCCCAATCGTTTTTGAGTTATGAATTTTTGAAGTTGCCATTTTTTCGTGTCAGCGACGCGCTCAAGTTGAGCCTACTGTGCGCGCACCTTTTAATGCGATCTGAGTGTCCTGACGTTCATGTGAGACAGTTGCCCGAGCAGTAGTGCACTCGCCTACGGTGCTGCAGGTTCGGGGTTCGATACTTCTTCTGTGAATTACATTTTTGCAATTGATCATTTTGTTCCTTTTTTAATTGCTTCATCACAACAAATTGTAAGTCACCTTGTAGACGTTATGATTCTAATTATATTTTATGTATTTTTTATTTTTTATAATGAGTGTTTGACAAAAAAGGAAAAAAATATAATTAGAATCACAACGTCTACAAGGTGACTTACAATTTGTTGTGATGAAGCGATTAAAAAACAAAATGATCAATTGCAAAAATGTAATTCACAGAAGAAGTATCGAACCCCGAACCTGCAGCACTGTAGGCGAGTGCGCTTCCGCTTGGGCAACTGTCTCACATGAACGTCAGGACACTCGGATCGCATTAAAAGGTGCGCGCGCAGTAGGCTCAACTTGAGCGCGTCGCTGACACGAAAAAATGGCAACTTCAAAAATTCATAACTCAAAAACGATTGGGCATTGGCACCTAAAAAAAATATGGTTTCTTATATTAACCTATTCTACCTCTCTGCCAAATTTGAACCCGATCTGAGGGGGACAATTGGTAGCCTCCCCTTGTTAGTCTGCACACATGCGCATATACTTCTGCTTGGTATCCAGCACCACTGAATATATGATTTACTTCAGATTGTCTGAGATCGATTCATCTTGTAAGGTGTAAGTCTCCATAAGGTGATATTCGTAACTGCTTTCCTTGACACTTGTAATAAACATGCCACTAGAGTTGAAAATATGTAAAGAAAAAAATTGCAGCTGGAAGAAATTTTATCGAGTTGAGCAGATGCTTTTTTAGTCGCAATTACAAGTAGCCTGAGTTTATTAACATTAGACTAACGAAAATTCTTTATAACCAAGCACAAATTTGACTTGGCTGAAAATTTATCTTACAAAGCGTAAAACTTTGCAGGGATTGGCAGTATTATATAAAGAATAATTGAAGTAATACACTTACGTCGGAAACTGTTGTTGAGTCGGCACTGATTTTTTGAGATTCTGATTTGTTTTGCAGGCTATCATCCTCTGATTTTTGCGACACCTTCTCAATGGGACCACTTTCTTTCCCTTCGGATTTTAATTTGTATCTACGAACAACATCACTTTCTTCTGAGCTCTTTAGATTTTCCACGCTATACTTTTGCCTCAAAAAATTCCGCCTTTCCTCCTTGTACTTTTCGATTCTTTTCCGACGGTCTAAGTCTGTTTCATTTTCAGGAATTTTCTCGACACTCATCAATTTACCGGCATCACCCAGTTTTGCAATAACAGGCTTGGACAGATCTGTATTGCTAGTTCTGATATATGAGTCTTTAGAGCTATATTTTTTGGGGGAAGTCTCTATTGAAGGAACTTCAAAACATGACAGGAGCTGGTGAACGCTTTTCGTACCATCTGAAACAAAGGAAATAAGACAAGTTAGAGAGCTACTTAACTACATTGCTAGATAGAGAAAAATTATACCCATTCCATTATGATGGTAAAAAGAGTAGTGATAAGTAATTAGAAATACGATCAGGAAAATAAAATAACTAAATGCTGTAAGTAAAACTTATCACACGGAAAAAAAAAATGCTGATTCAACAATTCAATAGCTAAAAACAGTGAATGCAATGTTTCAACGAAGATTTTACAACAAAAAAATGCTACTTTAACCACATTGTAAACTAATTTAACCACAAGGGTGGTTAAAGAAGCATTTTTTGGTTGTAAAATCTGCACTGAAACACTGCACTCACTGTTTTTAGCAATTGAATTGTTGAATCAGCAATTTTTTTTTTTCCGTGCAGCTAAGGTGACCTTTAGTAAAAATTAGAAAATCTGGATTGAGATCGCTCAGAGTTCACTAGGACTGGAAGATTTTCAAAACAGGAAAATTTTAATGCTGTATAAAAAGTCAGATATTTTTATGGTATTAAACTTCATGAAGTTTCCTTTAACACAGAGCAATTGCTTTCAACAGAAATCAAATTTATCACTGTCAAAAAGTGTCATAACACTTATCGTTTACCACTGATATTAAACACACAGTTTGACACACAAACACACACACCCTCAATGATACGATGTCTTACATTGCCACTGGCAGTTTCATTTGATAATTAAAATATTTTCATGTTAGTTTGAAATTTCATTTGAGACAAACTGTTGCAACTATTTTGCGGTGAAGCTACAGGAACTTGTATCTTAATTGCGGTGTTTAAAAATCTGCTCCCATTAGATTTTATGAAAGACGAGTAAATCAGCACTGCTGCTTAAAATGTTCATTAATTATTCTTTATACCAAGAAAAAAAATCAGAGAGACTTTTAAGTATTTATCCATTTAAAAAATAAATGCAATGTTATAAACTGAGACATGCGCTCCTGCTGTTGCACCATTGTATCGTACAAACACAGGCCATTCAATATTTTTAATTTATAAGTTACAGATTCGAATCTTTTGAAAAATGAAATAATGTGTATGATAGAAAAAGAATCAGAAGAAAAATATTATAATGTCCTAATATTGTCCAAATAATACACATTAATAAGGTATTAAAAGAACACTTTTTTCTTATTATTAGTATTACTAATGTCCTGTCATATTTGATTTTTAGAAAAGAAGCTAAAAGCTTGAAACTTTGCTCAATTATCTGTCGAGACTCGGGGCTCCTAAATTATTCAAATAAAATTTGATGTACAGATGTTGCTCCGTTTAATTTAATGCGATAAAAAATAAGTAGAAATTGTGAAATGCAACGATCAAGACTTTTTATTTAATTTTATTTTAGGTACAAGCAAGAAGTAGAGAGTAAAAATCTTTCTTCTTACCTGATTCACTATTTCTAGACTCTGGACGTTCCTCTGTTCTTGGCTCTTGAACATCTTGATCGTTAAGATTGATTAATAAAGAGTTACTTCCAGTCAAAGAGATGTCGTTTCCAGTATCATTTTCTGGGTTCCTGATGGAGCTATCTTGTCCTTCTTTCTTTGGAGACGCACTTGTGTTTCCTACTGGCGAGTTCTCTAACATGACTTCACTGGGAGGTACAGGGGCTACAAAAAAATATTGGAGAAGTAAAATATTTAGCATCTTGAGAGAATTTTTTATTTGACAGTATGAAATAAAATAGCTTGATAGAGATCCTATATTATTTGAAATCAATTTCTGTTGATAGCTGCAATGTACAAAAGAATGGATAACGACAAGTACGGTATACGCTGTTCAAAAAGTTAGGCAATTTTGTTTGCCTTGAACTATGACATTAAGGTTCATAGCTTTTGTTCCTCTTTTAATTTCTTTCTTTTCTAATTCTTCCACCTGAAAATGGGGTTTTTGGGACCTCAAAAGGCACCGAAACTTATATGATGGCCTTGGTTTCCATTTCCAATATTTGGGTGTTGTACTTTACCATTTGCCTCCAGATATTCCGCTTATTGTTGCCTGCATCTTAACTGTTCTTGGGAATTAATGAGGTTCCCAGAAATAGGAAACAGCACTCCAAAATTGCCACAGGGATGCAAAAATGTCTAAACCCCTTACTCGGCGAGTCACAATCGGTTGCATGTAAAAATCAAAGGGTCCTAAAAACAGGTTTTAAAATTGGTAGGCCAGCAAAATTGCGTATTTTCTTTGCAAAACTACGGGAGTAATAAGTGACAAAGTTTTTTTTTTGGAAAATTCATTACAATTCTTACACATTGAGTCATTCATGGGTCATCACTTTGAAACTTCCTACGGGAAAGGGGTTGTTAAAATAGGAGGGTTACTAACTTTCTGCATTCCTGAATTGCCATATCATTAAACAAAAGGAATATGAGATTACAGGAGCTGATTGTGCCAGTGTTGTACTAGGTATTGTGTCACATCATGGAAATAATTTTGTTATCAGCCATTAAAATAAAATGATAAGTAAAAATATTAAAGAACAAAAAATAAATAAAAGCTCACATTTCGGTGGTTGTGTGTGTGAGAAGGATTCATTTTCTGCTTTGTTCAGTGGAGTAAGCTTAGGCACATCTTCAGAGGTATCCATATCCACCAGTTTGTCTTCTGACTTTGGCGGAGTTTCAGTCATCTGGACAACCTGACTATCATGATCTAACATTTGGTTAATTTCTGTTACTGAACGCTTAAAAAATTTGACTTGCTGATAGAGCTCTTTTGAATCTGGGACATTTTCATACATAGTTTCCTCCTGAAACCCAACCAAACATTGATAGTGAGATAAAATTTAGAGAGGAACATTAACATTACATAAAATTTACAGGTTTAATTTGAAAGGTCATTTTCAAAATGAAACTACGACAAATATTGGTATAAAAAGTCTTCCCGAAACAAAAATATTAATTGATAACAGGTAAACGATTTTCCCCCTGACAAAGGTACCGTCAACAATTTAAAAAACCTTTACTTTTGTTAGAAACACATAGTTCGAATACTCTTAGTGTTTTACACCCCAATCGTCAAGAAACTTCTTTGAGTAAATAAATACTTCATTAGATCAAAGCATATAAGTTTCTCTGTGCTGCAATTTCCTTAGTTTTTAACTAATTTTGAATATTTTTGAAAACTTAGGGATATATAGATTAAGATTGTTGAACTCACTTTGGAATCGTCACAGATGTTGGTTTCCACTTGCTTCTGGAGGTCATGATTCAAACTAGAGGACATGCTGTTCATACTTCCATCATCATCTTGAATTAACCTAATATTTTCATGGCTGTTGTTAAGGTCACAGACATGCCGCTTTTTACTGGTTGGATTTTCAAAGAAGACATCTTCATAACAAGAGTCATCGTCAATTGGTTCATACTTAACATCTCTACTAACAGACATATTTTCATAAACGACAGGAGAATTGTCATGGCGTGGAACGTTCTCATAGACAACAAGATCATTGGTGGAGGATGGCGTGTGACCGCCCAACTCATTGCTCCCACTTTTGTCGTCTGCTATTAAAGCTTCCTTGTCAGGTTCCAAATTGCCGTAATGATCATCTTTCTTAACTTCTAACTGACTAGTTAAAAACGTAGGGAAGTTTAGTCTGTTGCTCTGCAAAGACTCTGTTGGCGAAGAAACTAATTCCGAATTACTAGATTTTTTCTCATCTGCATTGGATTCTTTTTCATTCTCAAAAATTTCATACTGTTGGCTGGGCGAGCATTCTAACCGGCTGTACCCGGAAAAACTTGTCTCTAATGGAGATGACTTTTTACTATCATCTACACATGTTTCTGATTCATTTTTTAAAACTTCGTACTGAGATACGTCAGTCAAAGGACTAGTCAAAAAACCTGGAAAACTCCGCCTGTTGGGCAGGAGTTCTGTTCGGGAGTTGGGTGTATCTTGGTAACTGTGCCGTGATTTTCCAAAAGGTGAATCCGCAGGTGATGCGTCAAGACTAGATGGTGAATGGAATGTGGATGCAGAATACTTGAGCAATGAGTATTCTGGTGTGAGAAGGTTCCCATCACTGAAGCTATCCTCTGTGAGAGGAGTGTAGTTAAGCCGTGGAGTAGACATGCTCAAAGATCCATTTTCAGAGAATGTTGTTTCTGACGGGCTTTGGGATTCATCACGACTGTGAACATCTACTTGCGTTAAAATTTGCTCGGGTGATTGACTATCAATATACTGAAGCTCTCCAGAGGAGAGACGTTCCTCCAGCCGACATCGTTTAGACAGATTGTTAGTTACTATGTCACCTTTGTTGTCTGCGTCAGTTTTGTGCTTTTTAGGTGATGGGTCTGAACTTAGAGAGTCTTCAGTCAAAGCAAGCATTGGCTGTCTTTTCAGGGTCTGAAAGAAATAAATGAGTAAGTTATGAGACAGAGAATTAAGTGTTAACAACCTAATAGAAGGATATTCAATATGATACCTAATATTCAGAATTTCTTTTAGTTTCCCTCAAATTGATCCAATTATAATATTGAGATGCAGATGGGACAAAAGTACACAAAAGTCAAGATATTAAATCAAATTTTGTTGAATTACTTCTTCAAATGAACCAGTGGACAAGGTACAAATACAAGCATCCTGATACTTGTTTCTTAACCAAAATTTCACGTAAAACACGATTCGCACAGCAAGAATTACTGATATGCCAAAAAAGATGCTTGATTGGGTTCCTCCTGGGAGGAGGCGTAGGGGACGCCCAGTGAGAGGTTGGCGACAGGGGGTGTTAAGTGAGATGAGGGAGTGTCAACTCCCTGATAACCTGTGGGAAGACCGAGCTTTGTGGCGATTAGGTGTCGCAAAGCGCCAAAGAGCGCTATAACAGCGACTCGTATGTATGTATTTCCTAACCAAGATAATAACGTATTTAGATGCATGAATTCAAACTTCCTACTCATGGAAAAAACAATAATCTACTTGAGTTAAATCGCACACTAAACATCACTGTGACAGTATCTGCAGTATAAAATATGGCAACCTCAATCTTGACGTTTTAGCTCAGCTATAACAAGTTGTTTACACTTTGAATAGAACAGGGTGGGAAAGGAACAATGCTTGATTAAGAAGCTTGCAAAAACCGTTATAGAGCCCGTTTAGACCACCCGAGAATATATTGTTCTTCTTGTGACCAGGCAATCCAAATTTCCCACAACCCATGTAAAAAAAACCGTTAATATCTTAGTTAGAAGTTCATTTCATTGCACGAATCGTGTCCTCTGTGAAATTCTGACTGAGAAATATTTATCAGAATGCTTACATTCGTACCTTGTCTACTGATCCATTGGAATTGTTAGCAAGGAATAAGTTGAATGCAACTATATTTAAAGTGTCAGTTCATTTCCAAAACTCTTCTCTGTAAACCTTCTATTATCACTTTAAGGATAACATCAGGTGCCAGCATGTTATCAGGCACTGGCAACATACAATGCAGGAGGCAGGTGAATATCTACTAGTGAAGTTATTCAAGAAAAAAATTGGGAAGTCAAGCCAGTTTTACTTAATACAAAAAGGGGAAGTGACTGGTTGCCTTACTGATACCTGACAAGGAAAGGATTGGGGTTAAAAAGTTGGTTACAACACCTTGCGTAGTAATTGAACTACTAGACATATTATATATAAATATTTGTGATTAAATCAAGATTTCTTGCAATGTTGATCTTAAATATTAGAGACCTTTTCAGGACGAGTATTGTTGCCATGTTGACATGCACCTGTATCATTAAACATGCATAGGACAAAGTTTCTCTGTCAAAAAGAGGTTAAAATTGAGGATAAATCGTCTTTGAGGTCAAAGCAAACCTTCATAACATCTTTAACAAAACGTGCATTTTCCACAAAACCTCTCGAGTTCATTACAGCAACACATTCAATCCCTGTCTGAGGGGGGTATGCGACCATCCAATCTGAAGCTCTTGTGATGAATAACCTGAGTCACTTAGGTTTTATAAGCTTACGATGGTATAATATTTCGTTTCAGAAGTCTTAAAGGTTCCCTTCATCTGATTAAAATTTTGACTGCTTGCTTCGATCAAGACCATGCATATTTTACACTGCCAAGTTGAACGATATTTTCTTTTCCGTTTCAAGATTTATACACAATGTTTCGCTAAAATCCCCATTCTCCACCTGATCCCTCGTTCAACTTTCAATTTGATGTCACATGCTCTCTTGTGCTGCATTTCTCTAGAATAAATTGAGTTACGTGACTTCTGAAGTGTCGCAGTCTTAACGCAGTTGTCGAAGGAAATTTATGCGGAGGAAATTCAGCAGTGCATTTCGCTGCAAACTGACATTTCTGATCATAGTACACGGCATCTAGAGAGGAAAACATGGTGGAAATATATTTTTGAGAACTAACTAGACTACTCTATGGCGCTACTGGTAAAGAAGGCAAAAAGATAACTGAACCTATGAACTCAAGACACACTTAGAAAATGTTAAAAGTAAGAATCAGGACATTAAAGGGGGAGAGGTTTGCAAAAAACACTGATAGACAAAAACAAACACACCAAATATACAGATACATAAACTTCAAGTTTATAATCCAAATTTTTATGATTCAGAAACATGTATTTCTAAAAAAAGAGAGAAGCTACTGAAAGGCACAAATAAAAAATTATGTTAAATTAAAATTATTTACACATTGACTGCCTTATGAAGCTCATATGCATGAAAAAAAAAGTTTTCCCTATTGACTATTTTAAGCTTTGCTTCATTTCTGTGCAAATTATGTGGCATGTCGTCAAACTTCAGGGCAATGCGTGTCCCCATATTGAAGGGGTAAACACAACAGGGTGTTACACCTGAAAATTTTGGGCTGAGTCTTCTTTAACCCTCGGTCTAGAGTTTTTCCAATTCTCTGAGCAAAGTGCGCCATTATTTCCTAGGGAGGAGGATAAAAATGCATACAAGCTTGTTGACAGTCAACATGGTGAATCAAGTTTCAGCGAAGAATTCCAGTGTTAAAATGACAGGTGAATATTGGAAAGAAAACCACATGAATTCTGCTTAGTAGGGTTTCCTACCTGCATTTGCTCACTATTGCTTGGACTGCTGAAAAATTGATTGGTCTCATCTTCGGTAAAGATTTTCATTTCAGATTCTTCAAGATCAAAATTGACTTGAATCTCACTCAAATCCAGTGATAACGAAAGACCTAAAACAAAAAGGATTTTTTTTTATTATCTCAACAAAGCAAAAAGCAGAACAAACAATCAGGAAACAGAAAATCCTCAACATACACCCGTGGTTTAAAAATTGAAAAAATAAATATTTGTCAACAAATTCATTCTAGGCAAGGTGAAACCGCTTGAAATTCTTTACTCCTAAGTTTTGCATTCTTGAAGAGACCACATTTTTGGTTCCTATCTAAACAACTATATATTAAGTAACCTAGAGTTAAGAGCAAAATACCCCACACCATTCTTCAACAGAGAAATGATTGACCGATAAAAATGGACTAGAACGTAAGACACTTAAGCATCTCTACTAGAAAGCCATGTTGATTGCATTGTATTTTTGAAAGTGCCCTGAAAGTATCTGAGAAAAAAGTGCAAAGGGAAATTTTCCAAGCAAAAATTCTCTAAACTCTACCAGGTATATCTCTATGTAAATTTTGTCTAATTCAAATAGGGGCGTTGGAAAAAACCTGCGAACTAAAAAATTTGACCACTAGGAGCACATGGCAATATTGCCTGTTAGAAAGAATGAGACGCAGTTGATTTTCAGCCATGCAAGAAAGTACATGGCTATCCTGTGGGATATTTCTCATAGATCAGAAAGGATAAAGAGTAAGAAATTAACCGAGTTTGTTGAATTTAATATATTAAGAACTGAAAATTCTTCAAGCACAAACCTTCATCATCATGCTCGTTAGCGGAGGAAATCTTTTCTGATGTAGATTCAGCAAGGTGGTCGAAGTACGAGTCATGAGAGGATGACCGATTATGGCCAGGCACGGAGGGAGGAGATGTGATCGGGAGTCGCGGAGGAGGTGTCTCTAGGCAACTAGAATTACGAGCCGAGTTGTGAGCACTTCCTGATGTTAACGACTCAGCACTCCTCACTGGCCTCAGATTCGTCTTCACTTCTAGTAGCTGCGACTCAGTTTCAGTCGTCGTCTGTGAGGAAAAAACAAAACATATGGTGAGGAAATTGTTGGAAAGTGTAAAAAAAACCGAATGGAGGAAAATATTAGGAGAATCTCTTGATAAAAAATGGACACATGAATTTCCTTAAATAAAATAGAGTCCCACAAGATGGTCTTATACTAGTAAACAAAGAATGCAACTCTCTCTCTTTTTCACAAACTAAAGAAAAAATGAAAACATTCTTTTTGCACCTGGATGGTTCCTTTTTCAGAAATTGCGATATGTCATTGTATTACAGAAAAGTAAAAATTCCCCTCTACTTTCAAAACTATCATCTATGTAAAAAAATTACTTCTCTTCTTGTAAATTGCTTGAGTTAATGGGGAGGAACAATACAAAGTTTCTTGGCAAACGAATGGTGTGCTTGTTGGAGGAATTCCATGAGCATTACTACGGCGTTTATGCCATTCTTTGAATCGATTTCACCTTCAGGAAATCTGAGAGGGTACCAACTAAGCAAAAGGTCACTAGACAAGGCCTACTAGAAAAAAAAGCCACATGTTCTCTCTCCAAAGCCTTACCTAGAAAACAAATTATACGGTAAGAATTTCAGAATTAAAATCCTAAACGAAATATTAACGAGTATTTTAACACAGATCAAAGAGAGGTACTATTTCAAATTATGATTTGTATGTGCAATCTAGCGGAAACGATATATCTGGCTGATCTAGCAAATTGGCAACTTGGTTTTCTCCATTTAAACATATGAAAATGTGTCGATTCTTAGAGGGGCCAGGTGCTCTGACAAGAATTGGTTATTTAGCATAGGTTTGAATGGAGGAAATCCGTTGTTGCTAAATTTCTGGATCAGCCTCTGCTGTGCCTTTTGAATGACAACCAGATTGTAATAGAATAAGCAGGGTCCAACAGTTTTATAAAATCCCACATTTCGTAATGAAATATATTGTAATGAAGAATATCCAAGCAAAAGATTTGTACTTACATGTCCAAACTTAATATCACTAGGAATGGATGTTTTACGTTTGTCTGCAGCCTTACACGTTGCTGGTGACCTACTCTTGCGAGAGGAGCTGGAAACAGAGCTAGAGCCTCGGGAAAATAGCGACTTCCAGCCCAGCGGAGATCTTTTGGAACCACCACGTTTGCGCGATGGCAATTCTATCACAGTGTGGTATTCTTTTGGTAAACAAGAGGGTCCTCCTCCTATCGAACAAGACGAAAATGAGAGTATAATTAGTAGAGTTCATGAGTCAAAAGTTGAGCATGATGTTACCAACATACACGGTTAGACTCTTGAGTCGTTCAGACAGAGAGGTAGCTAGTTCTTTCCATCCAATTTGATGTCAAATCTGTTGTAAAAATTAGGTTTTACATATATGAGGCTGCAAACTTTACTTATTATTTTTACTGAAAGTAGTGGAGTTTGAATAAAATTACTGTAGACTTCTTTGTGCCAGCTTCTAACAGTAACAAAGAGAGATGTGGAACAGATGCTTTTAGAGAAAAAAATATCTTATAATTGGGGGTGTTAAACTTATTCTTCTTGGTAAGCTATCAGTATTGCTTCTTTTGAAGTGCTGATACAAGCCGGTGAGGCTGTTCTTGTTAGAAACAAGTGGCTTTATCAGGAACTGCATGAACTCTAAGTCGAAGCATTGTTGCCTGCCTTGTATGTCTCCGTCTAATAGGTTACTTGGCCTGTGAAACTAATTTAAAAGACAATGGCTCGTTTTCACCAGCTTTGAGAACTCTGTCAACTAACGGTAAGGGTCTTTGTATCTTTACTACTTTTTAGACAAACTGTCTCAATGGCTTATGGGAAACCAATAGGACATCCTTATGTATCATGGCCCTACAACAGCACATTGTGGGTCTACTTTTCCTTTGCTTCTCATATTTATTTTTTTTTCTGAGGGGAAAAATTCGCTTAAAGTGCAACTCAATAGGGGGGCGCCAAAGCAGTACCCCATGAAAGGCGTCCCATCAAATACCAGTGCGGCAGCAGCCATTAGCTGGTGAAGGGCCGCCAAGGCAACCCCTAACCGACCCGGCCGCTTAGACTGTTACTATTCGGTTATAAGGGGTTGGTACACGCCGCAGTGTCCTGACCCACTAAACAACCCCTCCAGGTCACACCCCGCACAAGTCTGCTTCTCATTTAAAAAGACAAAAATGGTTGTTTTTCATGAGATATCTTATGAATTACGATTTTCCTGTATTGTAACAGCCCTAAAATAGGGAGGAAGTTTACAGCCACGCTCAAAAATTTGGCGAGAACTTGATTGAAAGTTTTTTAGCACATTCCCTTCTGGAATGGGAGTAATATAAAAACAGCAGTATGATGGTAAAATTAAAGATGAGATAAAGAGAAGAATACATACCAACTTCTATATAGTCTTGATCAGGTTTGCCTAGCAAAACCCTGCTCTGCGCTTCTTCTAAGGATAATAGCCTAGTTGGCGTAGAAACAGCCAGCGATTTGGGTCTGCTCTTCTTCGGAGTGCCTGCTGGGAAAGCCAAAAGAAATAATTAATGATTTAGCAATAATCCACCAAGATTCAATCTCTAAAAAACAAATATAGACATGAATTAATGTCTAGCAAAAACTGGATTCATTGTGTTCAAAAACTCTCATTCACCTGTCGAAGATTACAAAATCATTTTCAGAAACCCTACATTTCACCTGAAACCATTAGAAATTGGAATTTGTCTTTTGATTTAACTAATGAGAGCTCAAGTTTTGGCATGTGGATGAGTTCCCTTTTGCTTACGATTTTCAAGAGAGACTTGTTGCATATGGGTGGCTAAAATGTACATCTACATGACAATAATTCGTTTTCACAAAACAAAACTAGGATTTCAGCAAACATTTTTTTGACATTCCGTTATTTCTTCAGTTTCAAAGAGGATCACCCTTCTCCTGATTAGGTTCTAGTCTTACTGAATCTCTTGTAACAACTTCTACAAAAAAGTCTTCCTCGCCAGCTAAATGATCCTTGGAACCTCAAAAATTATTCAATTCCTCAGACAATACAAAAATAATAAACGACAGCTTACCATGAGGAGGCGGAAGATGATGAATGTTAGAGGTAAAGATAAGGTGCTGCCAACGAATGAGAAATTCAGTGACAACTGCTTGGACACCAACAACCTGTAAAGCTGCAACTCCACCGACCTCAAGTTCTTTGCACCGGAGTAAGTTCGGTGCCCACACAATTGCAACGTTGCGAGCTGTCATTCCTGTTGACTCACCACGCTCCGCAACACGCGCCAAGTGTCGCATTAAATATTCTAGGGTTCTGAAATAGAAAAGAACAAGTTATTTCGACACAACAATTAAGCTATAAAGATTGATACTTCAACCAAAATTTACCTAAAAATATCAACGAACCAAGTTTAAAAATAGCAGGTTCTCCAATTTTCATTCCTCCACTATGAGGCTTTGTGTATTAGAGGATATTAAATGACAAAATCACTGACATTTTTTTAAAAACCTACATTAAACAGCATGCGAAAATTGAATCGGCTCGTGTAAAAACCGCTAATGTCCATTTTTTTCAATTTTGAGATTATTGGGTTAAAATACTCTCGGAGGTCAGACCCACTCATTAATGTGGTGAAAATGTTTGTTCTTTAGGTTTTAAGCCCTTTTCAGGGGGGGCCAGGGTCCAAATCATGCGAAAACCGCTAATGTCCATCTTTCGTTATATGCCTCATAATACTGTACAACATACCAAAATAAAGAAATGTCTTCTGGATGACATTTGGTGAACTTCATGCATTTTAAGGCGTTAAATCCAAATATGACCTCCGTTTTTTCCATCACCCTCCAATTTTCCGGAAAAGCCAATTTTACTCGGAAAAATGACCATTTCTGGGTATTTTTAGTGTTTTTCTGACTGTTATCCCCTGCAGAATGTAGGTAACATTTTTCGTAGCTACGAGATTCAATTTTGCCGATGTCAAATTAACTGATGAGTCCAGAAATGACCTTAGTTTTTCCCGTTCACCTCTCAGTTTTCCGGGAAAGCAATTTTTTCCTGGGAAAATAGGCAAATTCCACGTATATTTGTGGTGCATGCAATTTATTTTTATAAATTTTCCTAGACCCGTGGTAGTATGTGACTTATGTATTTTGAGCTTCTAAATCCGAATATGACATTGGTTTCTTTTTATCTCACTTTAGATTTCCGGTAAAGCCGATTTTTCCAAGCCTAAAATTGCGAATCGTAAAAGCTTTGCCGGATCGAAGTGTAAAATTCATTTTAAAAATGCCTCTGATGTGTGGTACATCGATTCCTATGTGCTTTGAACTGTTCGATTCAAATATGATCTCAGATTTTTCCGACCCATTATTTATTATTATATTATACCCCCATATTCCTTAGAGCAGAAAAAGCATCGCAAAAATATCTGAAAAGAGCGTTTTCTTAGGAAAACAGACTTTTCCAGAAAAATAATAGGTGATCGGCAAAATCTGAGATCATATTTGAATTCAACAGATCAAAATACAAAGGAATCGATGTATCACACATTAGAGACATTTTTAAAATGAATTTTACACTTCGATCCGGCAAAGCTTTTACGATACGCAATTTTAGGCTCGGAAAAATCGGCTTTGCCGGAAATCTAAGTGTGATAGAAAGAAACCAACGTCATATTCGGATTTAGAAGCTCACAATACATAAGTCACATACTATCACGGGTCTAGGAAAATTTATAAAAATAAATTGCATGCACGACAAATATACGTGGAATTTGCTTATTTTCTCGAGAAAAAATTGCTTTTCCGGAGAACTGAGAGGTGAACGGGAAAAACTAAGGTCATTTCTGGACTCATCAGTTAATTTGACATCGGCAAAATTGAATCTCGTAGCTACGAAAAATGTTACCTACATTCTGCAGGGGATAACGGTCAGATAAACACTAAAAATGCCCAGATATGATCATTTTTCCGAGTAAAATCGGCTTTTCCGGAAAATTGGAGGGTGATGGAAAAAACGGAGGTCATATTCGGATTTAGCGCCTCAAAATACGTCAAGGTAACTTTATTTCGCCCGAAAGGCATACTGAAAAATATGCGTTTTCGATGTTTTAGAACCGTCCACGCACAAATCATGCAAAAACCGCTAATGTCCAGTTTATTGCTGGTAGTTTTGTGATGAAACTTATTTAAAGTACCGCAATTGTCCAGAATTTTATTTTTTCAACTTTATGTGAATGATAATCTACCGCTTTAATATCTTTAGAATGAATTTTGAAAATATCAAACGGCTCCAAAACTCGGAGATTTTTACGTATCATGCGAAAACAGCTAATGTCCAGAGTCCTTTTTTTTATTACTTCGTCCCAGACAGAGGAGGAGCTGGAAACTGTTAGGGATCCTTTTCTACAATCCATTCTTGTAATAATTAACTTCCAAACATTTTCTAATCCCGCATTTAAAAGGCTTCTACAGTTTTTTGCAGTTTACTCAAAATAAGAGAAAATGGACATTAGCGGTTTTCCCATGAGCCGATTCAACTAGTTTAACGGCTAAAAAAATCTCACCTGTAATGAGGTGGGGGCAGTTTCTGAACTGTCTCCCTCATTTTTGCTAATCTAATATTGTCTTCTTCTTGTTGCACAGCCGTAACGAAACTGTGGTAAAGTTGATATGTGCAAAGGGGATTTGGAAGCTCTCTGAAGTACATCTTCAGCAACGATGCCACACTGTGGATATCTTGCAGAATCGCTTCATCGTCATAAAGCTTGGGAACACGATCTTCATCGAATGTTGATCTAGAAACCAAAAATTGAGATATTAAAATCAAATATTCATACTTGTATGACTGAAAAGAAAGCAGGAATGAGGATTTTGATGGGTAAAGCAAACTTAAAAAAAATATATATATTATCAGAGAGAAAGGAACTGACAGGACGTCAAAAAAAGAACATTCACTTGTAATCACAGTCATTTCATTCAAGGCTGCATTTCTTCCACTTCACATTTTCACCAGATTTTGAGGGGAAACTTTTAAAATTGTCTGACCTGGTTATATGTAAAATAATTGGAAATTGGAGGGAAACTGCAAAATATTACTGAAAATTAGTAAATTATCAATAAGTTGCGTTTTTCTTAACGTTTTCAACAAAAGGATAAGGATGTCCAAATTTGTCTTTTTTCCACTGTAACTACTTCATTTCATTTAAAATGATTACATGCACTTTTTAAACTTTAATTTCTTGAAATGCATTGTTCCTTCCAGGATATTGGATGCTGATATTACGGAAATTTTTTCCCGACTTTCTAACAGAATGAAAGGAACATCTGACTTTTCCTCCAGCAAGACACTGTTCATCTATTGAGCATGCTCCAAAGCAGGTCATAAAAACAATAACTTACCTTAATTTTTGTATGTTTGAAGTGACGCCCGACAATCTGTAGATTCCATCAACTATTCCATGCTTTTCAATAAATTCTGAACAACATTTGAGTACCATTGGAACTACAGAGGAAACAAAAGGAATAATAACAAAAGGTGAGTCTTAGAAATAAAATGTTTACAGATAACTACACACAGAATATTGATCAAAGAGTGCGAAGGGGGGGGGGATGTAATATTGCAAAGAACATAATTGAGAAGTTACATTTTTTAAAATGACTGAATAAAAAGAGATGTTTTGAATTGAGAAACTATACAAATTGATGCAGAGATTTTATTTTCATTGGGATTACTGAAATTCTTTCTGTTAAACTGTCAATTAGGTTTTCAACCTCAAGAAGTAGACTGCCAGTATAATTTGATTAACTAGTAATACCTGGGGTAGTTGCATGAAATTTTTTTAATTCAATCTCTAAAAGTTTGAAGTCTACTGAGTATTGAGGTATTTTTTAAAAAAATTTCCGGTCACCAGAACTTAGAGAAAAAGCTCCTCAAAGTCAAAAGCCATTTGAAACGGGTCTTTTCCCGCGCTTGGAAACTGGGACTTCGTGACGTCACATGGTATACACCTAGGTTCGCCCTATGTCAAATACGTGTAAATATGGTCTTTTCAAAAATTCGCGAAAAATCGATTTTTTTGTCTAGATTTGATTTCTTTGCGTCCATGAAAATTTTAGGATTTGATTAATAAATCAAAACAATTTTGAAAGCTCTCCATCATGATTTCTTAGTGAAAAAGGGAGTTGAAATAGAGCTTTTCGGGTATCTTCTGCCGCTGCCGAGAGCCGTGCGGTCCGTCGGATTCGGGTGCGCCCGGACTGCTTCGGCAGTGTTAGTGCGTTGTAGCCAATCATAGCCTGAGTTGGGCTCTCTAGGCGCTGGTGGCGCCGGTGACCAAAAATCGCAACAACACCATTACATAGACTTGTTCTTATCACTTTTCTGATCTCAACTAGCGCTGTGTTTGAGTTTATGATCAAGATACGGTTCTGAACACCTTTTGGCATGATTTCCGACAGTATTTTCTGAGGAAAAAAGATAATTTAGACGCTTTAAATGGCACAACAGATCATACTTCGGCTCGGTAAACACACGGTCGAGATAGGGATGATGGCGGTGGGCGGGCCTTGTATACCAACTGACGTCACAGCCAATGGAAATCGTTTATTTCTTACTGCAATTTTGCGACTTTTTATCAAGCTTTTACGAAGCTTTCGACTCAATTTTGGAACTTGTAAATGCGAAAAACGGCTTTTTCGCGAAAAGTTCTGCCAGAAACAGTCATCAAATTTAAAATCCCAGCTGCATGCAACTACCCCATTGAGTAGTTATGGAAACGGAAACACTTACTGTCATGGCCAGAGTTTAGTAAATGCTCTCCAAGGTCACAGCCAAATACCCTTTCTCTCAAAATTCCAGTCTGCTTCAGTCTCCGCCTGGATGGTCGAGCAAGTATGAATGCTCGGAAAAACGCAATGAGCTTTCCATGTTTCCTGTAAAAAGGGTGCAGGAAGAAAATTTAAGCAAATGGGCAGAAGAGCTTTCAGTTGTACTTTAATTAATTGGATTGCTCCATACCTTTTTGCCACGAGACACTGAAGACTTTAGGCAGTGAAATGAAAAAGTGTTGGTCTAAAGATACAGGAAAGTTATGCCTCTTAGTGCTTCAATCATACACTAAAGAAATCACATGGATTTCATAGGAATTCAGCGCTAGCTTTATTTTGTTCTTGTTTTTAATAAGGGTCTTTGGGAATTCCTGAGAAAGATAAAAACTATCACAAATTTTCCTCTTCATGTGCCAATTTCGACAGAAGCCTGGTTCAAAAAATAAAATACATCAGCATTATTACACGCATTTTTTAGTGGAAATTCTGCAACAATAATTGGAGATAAAGGAGAATGTTTGTATTATCATTCCAGCTGGCGTGGTATGAAAAGCTCTATTTAATCATGTAGCTGATGCTCTGTGCAAATTCCTCCCTCCATCACTAGAGTCTTACTGGCAAAGTTTATTGGGAAAACATTTCCAATTTTTAGATTTGTAATGAAAAAAGTAAAAAAGGTAAAAAGTAAGAAAGGTAAAGATGTAATGTGTATACCGTAACACAGGTTTAGAAGGTTCCGTGGCAGATAGTACTTGATGAAGATGAAGAGTTCGAGGAACTTTATCCGTAATCACCGCAACACAATGGAAAGGGAAAAACCCGACTAGAAAACCTTTCTTCCCTCGCCACCAAGAGCTTTCTTCTGGTGGAGGCATATCAATCACAGAGATCATGTCACCAACCTGCCAAAAAGTTAATTTTCATGTTATATATTTATAAAAACGCTCCTACAATGCAATCTGACATTCTGCAACATCCAAACGCCACATATGTCGATACTCCCAGAGGTTATTGGGCAACTAACACTGCAACATCTCTTCATCAATGCCCTGCTGCCATCCCTTTAAAGATTTTGAAGATCATAATCTCTTTTGATCTAATGGACAGCCACCCTATAAGATTGATATTCGCCAGAGAATGCCTCCAGGGTATAAATAGGCCTGGTAGATACCCTATGTTGGCAAATTATTCTGTGATGGATAACATATCATGGAAAAATCTTCCTATAATCATAATTTAACGGTAATATTTACTTTAATTCTGGCCGGTTTAAATGGTCAAAAATAGACAACTTTATAAACTGTTTTTTAACATATTCATCAATCATCTCCCATCTATACTCTTTCTTTAAGGAACGAGATTTTGAGATGACACTGAGTGGAGTCATGAAATCTTGGAATAATTTCTTAGAGTGGATTCTTTGAATAATTGTTGTCATCAAAGGAAAACTTACATCAAAAGAAATCTCATCTGCAGCAACTGCATTATATTGCTTGATAGCATAAGCACCTGCCACAGCAGGCGTATTAATAAGGCAGTTATCAGCACCCGTTACGAGAAGTCTCCGCCCTCGATTGTCAAGTTCCAGCCAGCTTAATACGGGTCCGCAGTTGATCAGACTTCCAGCAATGTGGGATAGCCTCTCCAGATATCGGACAAGCAGTCGCCTTATATATGCCTGCAACAAGAATAATTACATGAGAGTATTCCGAAAGAACGAAAATACAGAGCCTCAAGAATGAATGTAAGCTAGACTGGGTGGAAGGAACAGAATCGTAATAAGTCACCGCTCACAAGATGACAACGAAAAACCGAGGACTAAATTAAGATATTGGTTCCATAGCTCAGCGGAGTATTTTAAAACAAAATTATGGCTAGGAAAAGTAGCAAACAGAATTGTAATCATGATAGTTTGAAGTTTTTAATAAAAACAGGGTTTCTACTAAAACAGGCTGGCTAAAAATTAGTACTTTTACAGTACTTTTTCAGTACATTCCCAAGAAATTCAGTACCACCTTAGCGGAAAAACTCAGTGCTTTTTCAGTACCTCCAATTGCCAAATTCGCAAAATTTAAAAAATTTGAATTTCTCGCTCAAATTGCGACAAAAATGACAAAAAATGCCAAAAATTCCGGACCTCCAGCGGAATTTCCGCACTTTTTCAATACTTCCGGACCGCCCTTGAAAAATCAGTGCTATTTCCGGACTTGTAGACACCCTATAAAAAAAGATAGATTCAAGTTGATTTACGAGAGGAGAACTTGAAAATATTATAATATTTAATGGGCCCATTTTAAAATGGTATTTTCTAGACGACACTCAGGTAGGATAGGATGGGACAAACTTTCCAGTGCCAGTATCTCGGTCTACATAAGTAACGAATTCAATAGTTGTTGATAATAACTCCTTGATACACTATTCGTACTCTTTGGATGTGCGTGTTGCATATGGAAAAATGGAAGGCACTCCGGTCACCGATGTCCATGAAGCAGTGCACGCAGCAGCGTAGGACGTGCGGCGCCGTTTGAATACGTGGCGGGATGAAATTCTCCGATAAAAACTATGGCAAGAGAACAGGAAACGATACTTATGCATCAATTTCACTAATCAGGATATTATATCCCACCGAAGTGCCGCCACACTGATCGTGAGTCGTGACAGCGTGTCACTACGCGCACTGCTCCATGGGCCAGAATGACCGGAGCGCCTTCAATTTTTAGTATGCAACACGGATGTCCATAGAGCACGAATAGTTGCATCAAGGCGTTATTACCAATATCATCTTCTTCCTGTGCTCTGTAATCAATACTACAGCGTGAAAGGAAAAACTCGTATGAACAGTTGAACACTCTTGCATTGTCTCTCATATTTAATTACTTGACGGACTGAAAATTCTCAACAAAAGTAGAGAGCCATCTTCTGGATCGAAATTTGATTTTCATCAGAACTTCCCCCTCTTTTTCTGATTTGTTACAGTTAACATTCTTTCATCATTGGCCTTGAGGCAGTGGCGTGGCGTGCTTTGCAATACATCGATTGATCTGCCATTTAAACCTATGGAAAAGGGTTGATAAACAGGGTGTTCGCAACCAACACCTTGCATGATAATCGATTTTTTACCATAGCTTCAAATGGGGAAATATCGATAATCGATCATCCACACTTCGACACTGCCCCGAGGAGATGATGGGTGCCTTCTGCACTGGCGCTTACCTCAGGATCTGTTTTGTCTTGGAGATTGTCGATGGGGTAAGGCAGTTCGGGAAGGGCGCTGAACTTTCGATCGTAGATACATCTGTGCAGCTGTTTGTCGAGCATCCGAAAGTTGTCATAGGTGCGCCGTAGAAGCCAGCTCTGGTCACCGGAGATCACTTTGACCGTCAGGTACTTATTTTCGCAGTTCTCGTTGTTCCCCTCCAGGCTCGACAGTGGCTTCAGATCCTCTTCATCATACAAGGATATCTGTGAAAATCAATCACGGGTAGTTGAATTATGGTCCCTCCACTTTTCTTCAAAGAGAATAGTCATTTCGCAAAGACTGCTCACTTTGAGGATAACCTAACAGACCCTCCTCAGATAAGAAATTCATGCCTCTGTCTCTGGCGTCCAAATTGTACCTTCCTACAGTTGGACCGCGTTACAGGCAGAAGGTTAAGATAAGCTAATTAGCTTTTATCTCAAAATTGTGCAGAAGTAAAAAGTTTACAATTAATTTCGGCTCAATAATTAAGGCCTTCGTGCCTTCGTGCAGATTAGTTAAAACCAAAAAGAGGTATATTATTGTTAATAATAAAAATGAATTAGCGTCTAACTAAAACCTAAAATTGCTATAATAAATTGTTAACTTTATTTAACATTTTTGAATAGTGCCAACAAGTTAAACTATAAATTAACAAAAGCCACAACAGCTTTTGTTAAAGTTAATTGGGCAATTTAATTTTTTACATGAAAAGGGTTGTGCAGATTTTTTGTGTAAATAACGGTAAATTTTCTGCAAATACCGAAGCAAATTGCTCAAAAATTTAAACAAAAATCCGCAAAAACGTGCTCTTGTAAAAAATGAAACTGCTCAGTTAAAGAGGTGTGTGAAAATACAGGCAAAAATGCCCAAACGCATTTTCGAATTTTGATCTTGTGCTCGTTAGAAAGGTGAAAGGCTGAACTTCCATTTCGACTGGCTGGTTTTTGCTCAGATTCCGTCGCTTCAAAGTCTGTAGTAAAATGAAATCCAAACCAAATTTTTGTGTTTACCAAAAACTGCTAGAACCGCGTAGTTGCCGCCCAGAGCCGAGTAAACCCAAATAACTATACGCCGATAGGAAGCTCTATTTAAGAGGAACATTTTTCAAAAAAAGCTCATTGAAATAAACTTACTGGAGAATAAAAGGGACTTACTGCAAAGAACTCCGATTGAATACGAATCAATGATGAGGCTGGTAAAACATATGCGACGTTCCTAAGTGTTTGCTCTTTACTTATTCCTCCATAAAATATATTCTTAGATGAACATACATTTTTGTGCGAAAAATTTTCAAAAAATAAAGAAATAATAATAAATACAAATACAATTGGAAAAAACCACGGATACTCGAAACTTTGCTACACGTGTGCATGTTTTTTTTATTTCACTTTCGATTACGTGCATATTCCTTCTTTACAAGATAGTCAGATGAGACGTTTTGGGTGCTCGAGGCGGCTTACCTGGATTGGTCCCAGCTCGACGTGTTCGTAGTGGAAGTGGGCGCAGTCCTCCAGCTTGGGGAACCGCGATCGACCCTCGAAACTCCCTGTCACTGACGTCATCCGCAAACTCCCGCCACTCCGACTCTCATCCAGTGAGCCCTGCACAAACCAGATCAAACATTTGAATAAAAATACAAATTAAACAATCGATGATAAAATTCTGACGAGATTTTAAAAACAGGATTTGCGGGCAGTCCTACCCCCCCCCCCCCCCNAAACACCTGAAGGCATTTACGGACGCTCCTAAGAGCCTCGGTCCAAACGGTCGAATATCGTTCGTCGAAAATCTGCGAAACTTTCTCAACAAACTAGATTTAATTCGGTAAAAACTACAGAGGAAATTAGATATCACGGCTTTGCTTACAACGACAAATCGGTCATGACAACAACATGATCTCTGGTCGATCTTGCGGCTGAAATCCCATTAATTCAATGCATTTTCGCGTCAGAATTGGCTAAAAAATCCAAGTAACGCTGGTCCCGAGGAGGTCGTTTTGTCCGATTTCTAGTTTAGCTCCATGAACTGGTCGGCGTAAATCCAGCCTGAATATTCAACGAATTGTTCGAAACCGCCTGGGCCTGGGGACGAATTTGTCGGCTCTTTCACACGGAGATGCAACATTCATCGATGAGTCCAAACTGCACCATCGACCAAATCAGAAGCGCTAAGTCGGACTTAAGTGCGGTCGGGACTCATCGTAAGTATATTTAAGTACGGTGAAGGGACCGAACAAATTCGGCCCCTGGCCTTTACGATCGAAACGGAAATCTTTTCACCCGAGGAGGCTAAAATAAATACCTCTGACAAGGGCATGTGCCACGTGCGGAGAGAGACGTTTCGACCCAAAACTGAGTCATTTTCAGTCGGAAATGTCACGATAAAAATTTAAAAAACGATGAAAAACCTGAGCCCTACATGGTGGTGCCTGGCCGGGATTTGAGGGGAAAAAAATCAAAATGTAGGGCTCAGATTTTTCATCGTTTTTGTAACATTTCCGACTGAAAATGACTCAGTTTTGGGTGGAAACGTCTCGGTTTGTTTTAGTTGTGCATTTTAGCCTTGTTCCCCGTTTTTCCCCCTTGACTTTCTTCTGTTACCATTGTCTCGGGCTGCTCTATAAAAATTTGTATCTGTTTGGAGAAGAGGGACCCCGTAGTTTCTCACTCCGGCAACACTGCCTAGAGGTCCTCGACGGGAGCTCGCGACATGCAAAGATGCCATTTCTCATGCGGCGGTTCCGCGATGATTGGTGCGTTCGTTGCTTCGAGGTTGCATCCCTCACGTTTTCCGATGCACTCTGCGCACGCCTCCGCCTCCGCCTCCGCCCCCGCCCCCTCCCCCCTCCCTCCTCCTCCGTCGGTGCAGTTGAGTCGGGTCATTAGCGGGCGGCGAATCCGAAATTTCATTAATTCACTGGCAGGAATCCCGCTCGCACAAATGTTGATCGTGTTCGCACATAGCCGGCGGATTCTCGCCCATGTCGAAAGGAAAGCGAAAGTCGTCGCGTTTATTTTCGGACTCGCCGCCAACATCTGTAACTGTCTCGTTAACCCATCACGTCAGGTCGTTGCAACCGTGCGGGCACAAGTATGTGGCGAGGAATTGCCCGCCCGGGCTCACGGGTCCACCGAGTCTGTCTTCGTTGAGATTTTCGAAAAAAGACGCGTGAGGATAGTTTTAAGAATGCTATCGTATGTTACAGGGTTGCCGCAGTCAGGGAAAACCTGGAAATGTCAGGGAAAATGACGAAAATGTCAGGGAAAAATCGTCAAGTCACCTTCGTATGCTTTCTCGAGTGGGTTAGCCGTTTCGAACGGCAAATTTTGCCTAAAAACTATTTCTAACCGTGGCTTTGTAACAATCTGGCATTTATTCAATTGTAAGGGAATTTCAACAAAATGTGTCAGGGAATCTTAATTTTCCAAATTCTGTGGCAACCCTGAATTGTTAAATCGGAGCGCGTAAGAAATTGGGAAGGTTAAGCGGCAGTCATATTAAGGGACCTTCGCAAAAACAGGGTTTGCGGCGATCTGAAAAACTTGGAATGTCATGGAATTTCCACAATTGAGGACAAGTGAGGGAAAGTCGAGGAATTCGTGAAAAAAGTCAATTTTGCCAAAAGCGCATCGGCTTGGCGACGCATCTTCACTCTTCAGCCGATCCCATTCGAGATACCGCCAACAACTTCCAAGTGCCTTTTTTCCATGATTTGAATCAGTTGTAGTGGCGCGGCGTCCAAGGTTCAGTAACAGTCAAAGGGGAAAAAGGGAGGAGGGGAAAAAATTAGGTGAAAGTTTTGTTCGGAGATTAGGGAAAAGTTAGCAACTTTGGAAATTTTAGAGTCTAAAGGAAAAGCACCAAAAATCAGGGGATTTGGAAATTAGGAAATTATGCACATCCTGAAAACAACTTTGGTGTACAATATGTGGCGAACTTAATTTTTCCGTGTAAAGGTATACCACCTTAGAAATCGAGCATATTTGCAGAAACCTTACAAAATCGCGACTGATGCTCAGTGATCTCACCTCGGCGAAAAATCGCTTCCTGGCCCGGGAGCAGTAGGAACAGCAACTCGGACATTAATTACTGTTTTCGCTCGGAGGAGCGGGAGTGGAGCGTGCTGATTGAGGATGGGCGAGTGGAGTGGCCCCCTTGTTTTGCCCCCCCCCTCCCCCGCCGAGGAGGGGGCGGGAGCGCCCACTTTGATGCGAGCTCGTTAATTACTATCCCGCTCGTTTCCAACCGCTCAATCAGTTAGATTCGGGGCCCATTCCTCCCCCCAGATTCGTGGCCGCTAATCGCCCGTCCACCAATTGAAACTTCGCGGGAGCTTTGATGACATTTGGACCGCATTCAACAGAAAGGAACCGAGCCACATCAGATTTTGCCAAATTCAACTGAGCGATTTAATATTTTACAAGAGAACGTTTGTACGGATTCCTTTGAAAATTTTTGGGGATTCGCTTCGTACTATGCGGAAAACCCACTGAAATTTGCACAAAAATCCGCGCAACAGTTTTCGTGTAGAAAATTAAATTGCTCAAATAAAGGCTACAGCTGATATGGCTTGGTTTCTTTCTGCTTAGCGCAGTCCGTTTGTGGGTTCCGATTCCACCGGGGGGGGGCGTTTGTGGATTTGTGGGTTGTGGGGTCGCACCTCCAACACCTTCTTCCCTCGGGGAGGTTCTGTATATGGTCTATGGGTATTGCAATCGAAGGAGCTTCAAGAATGCCTTTACTGGAGAAAAAAATTCTCTTGGATCTGGATTCCCGAGTCGAGACCCTTAAACTGACCAAAAGCAAGAAAACCCCAGCAGCCTGATTGTTGAAATTTTTTGTTTGAGATACGGCGAGTGAAGCGTGACTGTCTGTGTTTGCGTATCACGCGCAAGCGCAAGTATAATATCAGCTTGGGTTAGCTAGTCGTTAGTCGTTAGCGCGTGGCCGCTCCAAGTGGGTTGTGGGTGTCAAGGTCGGCTCCGTTCCGTCCAGCTCAAAATCAGACTCCGACTAGCCCTTTGTTCAGAGCTTTTGAGCACTTTGCTCGACCGGAGCCGCATGAGGCCTCCGGACCCCTTCACCTTGTGGGGCCCTCGAGTGCGTCAAATTTTCATTGACTCAGTTACGCGACTCCATTGATCCACTTTCCAAGGGACTTCCGAGTCCGACCAAACACCTGGATCGAGTTCGCATCACTCACACATGCTCACTGATATTTTCCGTAGAATTTCAAGTGTTTTTAAGGCTTCAGCGGGCTGATTATTGACATTATAGACAAAGCTATAGACAAAGCAGACAAGGGGAAAAGGAGCAAAGACTTTGGGTTGAAACGGGTAGTTGGTAAGGACATGGGGAAGTTTCATGGACTAACTATTGGGTCTCTCATGGGCTGCCGCAGAGTGGATCGAGTCAATCAAAAAGGTCGGAAATGAAATTTTTTACTAAAAATGCTATTTTTGATGTTAACTAAATTCGTCACATTTTAAATTTTGAGGGGTCTGCTAGAAGACAATTTCACGAGGAAACCAATGGAACCACTTTTAGAACCTCAGCATTTTGTATAAACGGAGTTATGAGCTTTAAAAGTTTCCAAATTTTGTCCGACTTCTCCTATTGACTCGATCCATAGTGTGACGTGGAGTTCATCACCCGCTTTCTTCGTCCATAGCAACCTCGAGTAAGCAACCGTGTACATTTTCACCGGTGGGATTCCGTCGGTTTCCTTTTGTATATTTATTTGTCTACAGCTCTGTCTGGCAATTTCAAAAATAAGTCCCGGACAGGGATGGAAGAAGGAATCTCTGTGGGGCAGTGCACAGAGGAACACGTTACAAAGGGGGTTTACACGGAATTCCCCGAGCTTCGTATTGAGAGGGGTTCGGGTTCCTTCCTGGACGAATTTGAAAATTGAGACGCCTCAGGAGAAATTTAGAGCTAAGCTTGCCGACACATTTAATGAAATGAGAAAATGACAGGGTTTGTAATAAGTGGAGCAAATCATAACTTTCAAAGGTTATAGCAACAACCCCTTCTCACAGAGTCGGCACCATTTCTGCCGTGCAACGCAAAAACGCTGTAAACGCCATTTTAAATTTTTTGGAAAAAATGTAACGTAGTAGAAAAACTTGTGTACTTTGGGACAAGGTTTTTAAAGAATTCTTTCTCAATACTATCGAGAACTTCACCCGAAAATTTGAGGTGCAGAGATAATTTTTTTATTTTTTTATTTTTTTTTTTTGCGTTTTTGCCTAGGACGGTAGATTTGTTTCCACTCGGAGGGCTTCCGCGGGGTCCCGTGTCCCTGTCCACACTCGCTCGGTTTTATACACGGAATCACGCGTGCTGGGTGAATTGCGCTTTGGATACTCTGCGCGATGAGCTGAAAAATCGATGGGGCGACAGCGCTGGGGGTTGGCCGGAAAAACCCCGCGAAATTCCGGGGAGATCGCGGATAACGAGCCCGGGTCGGCAACAGGGCTACGCGTAATTGAAACGGGCAATCAAGCGGCGATCAAGGCCTCTTAAGCGAGGGCCGAGAGAGAGCTCCACGCCGAGCGCGGGCTCCCGCGGTTGCGCTCATCAGTTATAAAAAAATAAC